ACCCATAAAAATCTGTACATTTCTGAAAAGGAAAAGAAAGGGTTCTTAACTGTCATTAAGTTCAAATTTTTTCCTTTTGGAATGTGATAGAGAAAATGACCCGCCCAAGTCACATGGCCAGATGCAAGTCTCAGACGTCCAGGGTCCCCACCCAGCACCTACCTCCTACTCCACGGGCTCCTTACGGGGCTGCTGCCCGGAGGCTGGCCTGCCTCGCTCAGCCTATGGTGACTCAGGGAGTTTTGAAAACAGGAAGTAAGCGAGCTGCGCTGTTGGTTCTTCATTTGACTCTAATTCCTGTCTTAGAGGTGCCGGGAGGAGAGGCCCGTGAAGTGGCTGCTGCTGTGAAGGTTCCAGGATCCGCCTCTGGTAAGATCTGATGGGACTTCGGAGAGGAAGGCCTTTGATTCTAGAACTCTCTAGGCTACTGAAAATGGGATCTGGCAGGCTCGGGGCCCATAGGGTAATCCTTGTATTTGAGTGTAGATGGAGAAACTTGGAGAGTTAGCCGTGCCTCTGAAGGCCATGGTGAGGGTCCAGAGATCCCAGATGTCCGTGCCCCTCCAGCTTCGGTAGCTGACGCATTCCTGGGTTTTAGAGGGGGAATACTCCAAGTATGTTCATTTTGACAGAGGCCTCACCCTTATGCCAGCCAGACTTATCAAAGAACAGAAAGCAAAATTCAAATCTCAACTGACTTTGCTGCTGTAGCTACCGGTCTGCCGACCCACAGACCACCACCATAAACACACACACACCTAGACAGACACGCACAGAAACACACACACCGTGCTAAGTACTCAATTATTTATTTATTTATCTTTGCGGGGTGGGAGTGGGGGGATTAAAAGGGTAAAGAACGGGGAATAATATAATGGCAATAGATTGATAATCTGTACTTGTTGAGTTAAGCATTCATAGGTGGAATTATGAATTTCATTCCAACATTGGTTTGGAAATGTGAGATTAAGCATTTACAGGTGAAGTTATACACTTGTTCAGTTTGGTAGGTTCTAAATTTGGTTGGAATGTGGATATCTTTCCTTGGCTGTATGATAGCGCTGGCTGGGACCCTGCTGTGAACAGTGCTTGTCTGGATCTCTGGCGGGTTCTGGGGGAACCCCAATTTGGAGTGGGAACCCCAATTCAGAATGGGAACCCCAGTTTGGAGTGATCCTCCTGGACTGGAGGAAATGGCCATCCTATTACCTAGGGCTTTCAGGCCTGAGACTAACTTTCCAGTACTCTTGAGCTTTGAATGAGACACAGATTTTTGTCTCAGAGGAGGAATGCAAATTTTGGGTTTATTTTCTCCAGCTTTGAGGTAGTTTTCCATAAGACTGTGAGAGAGCTAAGATGCTGCTACAAGGTCATTAGAAGGATTGTTTGTGATTAGATGAGATTTATTTGCAATTTAATTGTGGTGTAACAGGCGGTGCTAATTTGGGACTCTGAGATGAGGTGCTGAGGTTTAAATCCAGGCTCCAGCACATACCAGGTTGGTTGTAAGGTTCTGACCTTCTCTCTGCTTTAGTGAATATGTTAAGAATTTTTGTTTGTTGTTTCTTTTGGGGGTTTCTTTTTTTTTCTTTTTTTTTTCTTTTGGTGGTTTCTTTAAGAATTCCAAAGACTGTATAGTCCATAGGGTCACAAAGAGTTGGACATGACTGAATGACTTTCACGTCACTTTACTTAGTCTTTTAAAATTTTAAGTAATTTGAAATCTTTAAAAATATTTTGATTATGTGCCTTTATTAAATTTCTTCACTGGCTTCCAACTGCAATTAGAATAAAATCTAAATCTTTGCAGCGTCTGTCACTGAGCCTCTTGATATCCTCAAATCTGGGCCTGATACCTCTTACTAGTTTATTTCTAAACTGATTTTTCATGGTAATAAAGTGAAGATGATATTAGCAATTTCTAGAGATGATTGCAGTAAATGAGACAAGAAAAATATTTTTATGTTTATATGGTTATATGTTATAAACATTTATATATCATAATATAAATGTTTGGCTATATAAAAATACTTTGGGGCGCACATTATAAAAATAATAGATATAGTTACATATCATATAATACAAATACATGTATGTGGGCTTATTACTTAGATATTGTATAATTGAAAGCAAAAGAAAACTTCTGAAGGCCTTTCCATTCCCACCCCTCTCCTCTATCTTGCATGCAGTATAAATCAGTATACTCAAATTGATATATTCTACATATGTATATGCATATAATACATTATATATGCATATATGTGAATAAAATTGGGGAAAAAAACCACAAATGTGACCCCAAAATTACTTCTAAATTTTTCCAAGTGTTTTTTTTCTTTTAAAAGTTCTTTAAGGAACAAGTGTTACTTTTACTATTTTAGGATGAAAAAAATAGAGCAATGAATATTCTTTTTAAAATATTACTCTAATAAAGTTTCTGGCTTATGAGCTCGTGCAGTAAATCCAGGTCCCATAAAAAAAGAAGTGCTTTTTAGTTCCTCTTCTTATAGAGCCAGAGTCTAGAGGTGGCCTGTGGTTAACAGTATAAAATCTAGAGCAGGTAATAGTGCTTCCCAGGTACTACAAGCAGAGAGATGGGTGACCTAAAGAAAGACAATATTATACTTGGGTATAATATTGGAAAACCTGGGTCAGGAAAAAAGCCTCGCCTGTACTTTCCCTACTAAGTGTCCATTTTAATGTGATGTAAAAATCACTTAGAAAGCACTGCCAGGCTATTGCAAACAAAATGAAATGACCTGGTTATAGAGGACAGGAGCCAATCATGTTATATTCAAACTCATGTCATTCTGGCTTTGGATTGGAATTTTTTTATGTGTCAGAAAATGCTATTGAACATGTAACAAAAGCCTTAAAAAGCTTTATGTCTTTCATCTCAATAATGCTATTTCTAAGAAATTATTCTGATAAAATAACCAGAGTTGCATTGAAGATTTGCATTGTAAGATCATCCTAAATGTCATCACTGACTCAATGGACATGAGTTTGAGCAAGTTCCAGGAGATGTGAAGGACAGGGAAGCCTGGCGTGCTGCAGTCCATGGGGTCGCAAAGAGCCAGACACGACTAAGCAACTGAACAACAACAAAAAATGTCATCAGAGACTGGTTAGATAAATTATTGCCCATTTGTATGATTAGATAACTTACAGATTTTCAAATCCATGTTGTAGAAAAAAAAGACATCAAGTCATACTTATAATATTATCCGTGGAAAAATACACTTACACCTCAGAAATACAGTGTGTTCAAATAGGAGGGAAAATATATAAACAGTATATAAAATATTTGGTAGGAAAGACAGTAAAATATTATTAGGTAGTTATCTTTTTTTAAAAAATTATTTATTTGTTTACGTTTGGTCGTGCTGGGTCTTCCCTGCTGCCTTGGGCTTCCTCTAGCTGCGGCGGGTGGGGGCTGCTCTCTAGTTACGGCGCCCTGGCTCCTCGCTTCTGTTGCAGGGCGTGGGCTCTAGGTACCCGGGCTAGTAGTGGTGGCGCACGGGTTCAGTTGCTCTGTGGCATGTGGAGTCTTCCTGGACCAGGGATGGAACCTGTGTCCTCTGCATTGGCAGACAGATTCTTATCTCCTGAACCGCCAAGGAAGTCCTATCTTTTGTTTTTTAAGTTTTTTTTAAATTGAAATAGTTGATTTTCAATATGGTGTTAATTTCTGCTGCACAGCCAAATGAGTCAGTCACACGCACATGTGCACATGTCCCCTTGCCCGCCACACATACATGTACATGTACATTATTGTTTTCAGTATTCTTTTCCGTTATGGTTTATCACAGGATACTGAATATAGTTCTCAGCACTGTTCAGCAGGACCTTGTTTATCCATTGCATTTATAGGAGCTTGTATCTGTTAACCGCACCCTCCCACGTCATCCCTGCCCCTACCCCCTTTCCCTTGGCCAAGTCTATTTCATAGATAGGTTTCATTTGTCCTATTTTAAAGTCCATAGATAAGTGATATCATATCGTATTCATCATTCTCTTTCTGATTTACTTCACTTAGTATGACAATGTCTGATTGCTGCAAATTATATTATTTCATTATTTTTTATGGCCGAGTGGTATTTCATTGTGTATATATATACCAGGTCTTTATTCGTTTGTCTGTTGATAGACACTTAGGTTGCTTCCATGTGTTGGCTATCATGAATAGTGCTGGTAGGAGTGAATGTATCCTTTTGGATTAGAGGTTTTGTCTGGATATATGCCCAGGAGTGGGATTACTAGATTATATGGTAATTCTATGTTTAGTTTCCTGAGGAACTTCCGTACTATTTTCCATGTACCAACTTAAATTTGGAGAAGGCAATGGCACCCCACTCCAGTACTCTTGCCTGGAAAATCCCATGGACGGAGGAGCCTGGTAGGCTGCAGTCCATGGGGTTGCAAAGAATCAGACACGACTGAGCGACTTCACTTTCACTTTTCACTTTCACGCATTGGAGAAGGAAATGGCAACCCACTCCAGTGCTCTTGCCTGGAAAATCCTATGGATGGCAGAGGCTGGTGGGCCGTCTATGGGGTCACACAGAGTCGGTCATGACTGAAGCGACTTAGTCAGCAGCAGCAGCTTACATTCTCACCAACAGTGTAGGAAGGTTCTCTTTTCTCTACATCCTCTCCAGCATTTGTTGTTTACAGAGTTTTTAGTGATGGCTGTTCTGGTTGGTGAAAGGGGTACCTCATTGTGGTTTTGATTTGCATTTTCTCTAATAATTAATGATGTTGAGCATCTTTTCATGTGCCTATTGGCCATTTATATTTCTCCTTTGGAGAAATGTCTCTCTGGGTCTTCTGCCCATTTTATAGTTGGGTTTTTTTTTGTTGTTGTTGAGCTGTATGAACTGTTTGTATATTTTGGAAATTAAGCCCTTGTCAGTTATATCATTGGTAAATATTTTCTCCTATTCTGTAGATTGTCTTTTCATTTTGTTTTGGGTTTCCTTTGCTGTACAAAAGTTTGTAAGCTTGATTAGGTCCCATTTGTTAATTTTTGTTTTTATTTCTATTGCCTTGGGGGACTGAAAACATTGGTACAATTTGTGTCTGGAATGTTTTGATTAGGGCTTTTAACTTTGGATGATAGAATTATAGGTGATTTTTATTCTCTTTTTATCTTTCCTGTATTTTCTAAAGTGAATACAAAAAGCATTGTTATCATAGTCAGAAAATCATATCAGAATATAATTGTTATAATATCAGAAAATAACTGCAGAGGGAATAAAAAGGAGATTCTGCTTTCATTTGATTCTTTGGTTGATTTTATTCTGTAAAATGATACTTTAGCAATGGTTAGAACTGGTTAAAAGATCTAAGGACACTGGGCTTAATGGTACTAAGCAGAGCTGACCCAGTTCAGATCCTTTCCAGATTCATATACTGGAATAAAAATAGGACTTTATATAGAGCTTTTAATTTAAGTTCATGTACATTTAGCATAAGTAGTACATGCAAATGGTAAAGATTCACACTGTGTAAAGGATATAGAATGTAAAGCAAGTCTCTTCCTGTCTGCCCCGGGGCCTCTGCCACCCCCAGACCTCTAGTTCCTCTCATCTCAGACAACCAACGTATTCTCTTCAAAGATCCGTGAATACAAAAACTAGGCACTTTATGAGTTTGGTATGTCACTTTCCAGAATTTCTGTATCTTTTTTTTTTCTGCTTTTATAAGTATGTCTATAATCATTGAAAATCTAACTGTATTTTTTGAGTGTTTCTGAAAAGTAGCTCTGTGATTCTTGGTTATGTCGCAACTTACTATCTTCACTGACATAACACATCTTGAATGTCTATGCATTTTACTTTCAGAAGGTGGAGGACATCTTCTCAAGTGCTGCACAGCTTTCTGTGTATGACTATATGTAGTTGATTTAGCCACTCTTTTATTGGAGGACTTTGAGGATGTTTCTAGTTGTTCAAGCTTACATATCATGCTGCTGTGATATGTACAAACCCTGTAGAGCACATGTATGTTCCTACAGAGTGTGATTTAAGGAATGAATTCACTAGTCTGTTCCCTGAAATGTCCAGTAGTTTTGTTTGTTGAACTTTGAACATATGCTTTTTAGGTGCTGGCCAAATATTTAAGATATCAAAATATTTTTATGATAATTGATTGCTTTTGCAGTGAATGATCTAGGCTCTGCAGTCTTTGTGAATCCAATACCAAACAAAATGCATCTTCCCAAGACACTGTACTTACAGTTCTGTAATCAAGAATTTGTCTAAACAGTAATGCCAGCTCTAGACCAAAAGGGTGAAAAAAAGTTTTGCCATGATTCCAATTCTAAAAAAGGAAATAATCAGCGATATGCCCAGGATATATGAAAAAGTCCCTCAATGCAATATTATTTTAACAGTAAAGAAACAGAAAACTGCTTAAAATCAATTTTATTTTCACATGCTGGAATTCAAGAAATATTAAAAATATGCCAAAGAAGAATGTTTATGGTAAGGGTAAATGTTCATTCTAATTATTAAGTGGGTAAAAAAAAAAAACAACCCAGGTGTACAGTTTTGTTTTTTCTATAAATGTATCTTTATGTGTATGATGTATGATAATGACAATTGTGACCATGTTATAATTTATTGTATTTTCAATTTTTACCCTTCCCCCTCAAAAAACCCCACTGTTCTATAATCAGCATTGGGAGGTTGGAGGTGTTTTTAAAAAGAAAAGCTAAAAAGCCTCAAAATCTTTTGGGCTACTTTAAAAGAAGTTATTTTTTTGTGGGCCACTTTTTAAAAATACTAAAATTGACCTTAATGTTTCTATTTTAACATCTGATGTACCAAATACACAGGTCCTGGTTCACTCTATCACCCCTCAAATGATAGTCAGGATTCGTGGTTTCATCCAAGAATGTCAGTGAATGCTTAAAAATTCAGGAGCCTTGTTTCAGGGAGGAAAGAGATCCAAACAGGTTAAGATTATCTGATGTCAAGCAAAATGCCCAGGGGCACAGAATCTGCGGGAACAAGCAAGTGCTGGAGCTGAGGTTAAAGGTTTTCTAGTTCAAGGTTCTCAGACAGTAGCCCTGAGGTCAGGGAGCGCTTGAGTAGGCCTTCGAGGAAAAGTTCTTCAACTATGAAGAGGTTGAAAACCGCTGCTTCCAACTGAAGTCTCCAGGGAGGAAGCAGGAAGATTCCAAGGGTAAGAGAAGTGTTCAGATTCCATGCAGCCAGCGGCGTCCAGCCCCACAGCCGAGGTGCTTCCTTCCTTTCAGGTGAACATGCCTTTATTCCTGAGCTGTTGTTCGTTACTCTGCAAACATTAAAGGTATTACGTACTCACAGAGGGGCTTCCCTGGTGGCTCAGAAGGTAAAGAAGCTGCCTCCAGTACAGGAGACTTGGGTTTGATCCCTTGTTTGGGAAGAGCCCCTGGAGAAGGGAATGGCTACCCACTCCAGTATTCTTGCCTGGGAAATCCCCTGGACAGAGAAGCCTGGAGGGCTCCAGTCCATGGGGTGGCAAAGAGACAGCCGTGTCTGAGCGACTCTCACTTTCCCTTTCTTTCACACTCACAACACTGCAGGAGAGGTTGTTCTTTTGATCTCACCTTACAGAGGACAATCTCACCCTAAGAGGCTCTGAACTGCGCAGGCCTGGGCTAGGCCCACCCTGGGTTCTGGTCTAAGTTCTGTCTGACCCCCCAGCCCCACTGCCTAGACACTCAGCTGCTGGTGAGATTCCTGGCTTTGACAGTGACCATGTGGCCCGCCTCGAGGAATTATGTCCCAGTCTTGTTCCTATGCTCTGTCTGACACCAGCCCTGCTCCAAGGGCTCCTGGTGCCTAGAATGTAGGCCTATCAGAGCAGGGAAGGTGCAGGAGAAATCCACGTGACTCAAGGGGCTCAAGGCGGAGAACTCCAGATTCGGGGCTACTGTGTGAAGGTTGTCTGTGGTCTCCTGAAACACTGCCCTCTCCTTTCCTTACCTGCTCAGATGTGTGTGTGTTAGTCACTCAGTTGTGTCTGACTCTAGGAGACCCCATGGACTGTAGCCTGCCAGGCTCCTCTGTCCATGGAATTCTCCAGGCCAGAATACTGGAGTGGGTAGCTGTTCCCTTCTCCAGGGGATCTTCCTGACCCAGGGGTCAAACCCAGGTCTCCTGCATGGCAGGTGGACTCTTTACCATCTGAGCCACTGGCGAAGCCCACTCAAACAAGTAAGTACATGGAAATAGGGCTTCCCTGGTGTCTCAGTGGTAACAAATCCACCTGCCAATGCAGGAGACATGGGTTCGATCACTGGGTCAGAAAGATTCCCTGGAAAAGGAAATGGCAGTCCACTCCAGTATTCTTGTCTGGGAAAGCCAATGAACAGAGGAACCTGACAGGCTACAGTCCATGGGGTCAAAAAAGAGTTAGACAACACGACTTATCGAACACCATAGCAACATGTGAAAACACCCCATCATTTGAGTTGAAAGGCTGACCAAGTTCTCCTGGTTTCTGTTTCCAGTCTTGGGTTCTTGACCAGCTGAGAGAGCCAGTCCTGAGGCCCTTGGGGGATAACACGGTATCGTGTCCTCCCACCACCATTGTTTCTGCCAGATCATATCACTTTTCCCACCTCCAACCCTTCCAATCTGTCCTCCACACTTCATTTTATTTTTTAAGTATAATTTTTATTTTATACTGGAGTCTAGTTGATTTACAATTCTGTGTTAGTGTCAGATGTACAGCAGTGGGATTCAGTTATACATATATGCATGCCTGCCACACTTTAAATGTTGATACTAAATTGGATGACATCATTGTCGTGCTTACGATGCTTTCTAGTTTCCCGTTACCTCCAGGACAGAGCCTGATCCCCTTGACCCACAGTTTGGGCCCTTTATAATGGCTCCTGGCCACAGTTCCATCCCTTTATCTCACCATTCCCTCTTTCAGACTCTTCACGATTACTTTTTGAGTTCTCCATGCCTGTCTGAACTGACTTGAACATTCTTGCCTCCATCTTTTGCATAGATTATTTCCTTCAAGAATTGTCCTTCACCATCTTCTCCCCAAAAGTGACCTCTCTCCAGGAAGCCCTTTCCCCAGTTGAGTTAAGTCTCTGTGTTTCTCCTGTGCTCTGGTTATAGCTCTCTGACCACTGAGTAGTTTGTAAATCTATTTTCCAAAACAATGTTATGTTCCAAATGATGACGAGTGGGAACCTGTTTGTTTGTGTTTTTTTTTCTTTTTGTTTTTCTTCTCCCTGTATCTTTAGCATAATGTCTGGCATATAGTAGATGTAATAGCAACTGATGAAGGAACAAACCAGTAAGTGGTAGTTTTCTTCCTCATCTGAAAATAACATTGTATTTTAACCTAGGTAACAACTACATTCTCCTAACACTTGAAAAGCATGGATCTCACCCGATGTCTCTATAAAATTGGGGAAGAGCTGGGCAGCGACGACCTGGCTGCCCTCAAGTTCCTAAGCCGGGACCACATCCCATATAGGAAGCAGGAACCCATCAACGATGCCTGGATGCTATTCCAGAGGCTCCAAGAAAGGAGAATGTTGGAGGAAAGCAATCTGTCCTTCTTGAAGGAGCTGCTTTTCCGAGTGAATAGACTGGATCTGTTGCGTTACTACTTGGACACCAGCGGGGAGGAGATGAAGAGGGAGCTTCACATACCCGGCAGGGCCCAGATCTCTGCCTACAGGTGGGGAGAACCTCCGCGGTGTGGACCTGGGAGCGGTGCGTTTGAATGCACACATCTTAATGGGCAGGGCTCATGTTGTATGTAGGTTGTCTGTATGGAGTGACTTTGGAGGCTCTGGTAAGAAGTTTCACCATGGCCAGGTTAAGAAATGTAGAGACTTTATGTAGAATTCAGAGAAAAAAAATACTAAAAACAATAAAGTAAAATTTTCTTTACAGAGAGAAACATTACCAGTAGGCACATGTGCTAATTGCTTCAGTTGTGTCCGACTCTTTGTGACCCTGTAGCCCTCCAGGCTCCTCTGTCCATGGGGATTCTCCAGGCTAGAATACTGGAGTGGGTTGTCATTTCCTCCTCCAGGGGATCTGCCCAATGCAAGGATAGAACCTGCATCTCTTATGTTTCCTGCATTGGCAGGCGGGTCCTTTACCACTAGCACCACCTGGGAAGCCACTGAAATTCAAATAGCCATGCTTTAAGCATTCTGACTCTCCTCTCTGTTACATGTCTGTTATCTTGATGCCTCTGCTTTGCTGATGTTCATACCGTGCACTTAACCTTGCCTATTATTAAATGAACCATTGCAGCTTCCCACTCGAGAACCCATGCCATCTACTTGTGGATGTCTATGAAATTCTCCACAGGGTTTTAGGCTTTTATTACACACTTTAAGGCTTGCGTTACCAAGTTCTTCAGTGAGGTGTGTGCTGCCAGTCATTCTGTTTTGGCCAGGCTGGACCCCCACAATGATTGTTTTTTTTAATGGCATAAGATAGTAATTAAAAAAAAAAGATTCATTTATTTACTTACTTATGGTTGTGCTGGGTCTTCAGTTCTGCACCTGGGCTTTCTCTAGTTGTGGCGAGTAGGGGTTACTCTTTGTTGCAGCGCGCTGACTTCTCATTGCGGCCGCTTCTCTGGTTGCGGAGCGCAGGCTCTAGGCGCGTGGGCTTCAGTTGCTGTGGGACTCGGCCTGGTTGCTTCAGTGCGCATGCGTAGTTGCTCCACAGCAAGTGGAATCTTCCCCAACCAGGGATAGAACTCACGTCCCCCGCATTGGCAGGTGGGTTCTTACCCACTGTACCACCAGAGAAGTCTTAAGATAATCATTTCTAATCTATCCCTGGCCATACAATGGAAACCCCCACTGTAATAACCAATCATCCTAAAGGTTAAACAGCTTCCACAATTTCACTTCATAAGCCAGTCTGCAACACCCAATGACAGCTTAATCCCCATGACTCCAGATGCTGTCAGAAGAACGGCAGTGGCTTGGGCTGTCTGTCCTGCCAAAGGCTTAACACAGTAGAGAAATTATTTTTCTAACTGTTCTGGAGCCTATGGGCCTGAAATTGAGGTGTTAACATGATGGGTTCCCTTTTGGAGGCTCTAAGGGAGAATCTATTTAATGCTCCTCTCCTGGCTTCAGGGAGTTGCAGGCACTCCTTGCCGTCCTCCTTTCAGATGCCTCACTCCAATCTCTGCCTCTCTTCACCTTGTATTCTCTCCTTTCAGTCTGTGTCTAAAGTTCCCTCTTCTTTTAAAGACACCAGCCATCGGGTTAGGACCACCTTAACCCAGTCTACAGATGGACAAGATAATGGGGGTGTGAGGGGCCCAGCATCAAAGGGTGAGGGGCAGGGCAACTGGGTATGTTCGGAGAGGAATGGGGAGATGGTAGTAAGGCGTGGCCAGAGATGAAAAGGCAGATTAGGCTCAGTTCACAAAAGCCTGTGTTCCAGGAGGAGGTGTTTGGCCTGCCTATTGAAGGGAGTGGCTAGGAGAACATTGACTAAATTGATGTGTTTTGAAAAGAATAATATCCAAAATCAAAGCTTTTTTTTTTTTTTTCTTTCTGTGCAGCAAGATCTTGATCTTATAGTGAAGGACAAGAGAAAAACACAATTCACTCAATTGATGTTAACTGAAAGTTAAAATTGGGGAACTTTTAAAAATTTTAATTAAATTAAAAAAATTATTTATTTAGTTATTTTTGCGCGCTGGGTCTTCACTGCTGCATGCAGGCTTTCTCTTGTTGTAGAGAGCGGAGGCTACTCTTCATCATGGTATGCTGGATCTGGGGCTTGTGGGCTTCAGTAGTTGCAACTCTTGGGCCCTAGAGCATTATGGGCTCAGTAATTGTGGCACATGGACTTAGTTACCCTGCAGCATGTGGGACCGCATCTGGTCCATTCCTGGACCAGAGACAACCTGTGTCCTTTGCATGAGCAGGTGGATTCTTAACCACTAAGGCACCAGGGAAGCCCCTGGGGGATTTAAATTCCCTTAAGAGTGGGATAGTTGAGAATGAGCCATGAGTCTTCAGTGTCACTACACCAGCCTCTTTCCAAGGACTCAACTCATAAATCATGTCATTAGCTGGTTATATTTTAAAGGAAGTCCAGAGGATCAGGTTCACGTGACTCCATATATCAGATGGGAAATAATTTAAGAAAGTTAAAGTATTTCTGTTTCCCACTATAGGATCCTGCTTTTCCAGATTTCAGAAGATGTGAACAAAGTGGAATTGAAGGAGTTTAAGTTTTTTTTGAGCCAGGAGATTGCCAAATGTAAGCTGGATGATGACATGGTAAGACCTGCTGTCTCACCTGAGGTGTAGCCCTGGCGGTGATTTCTGAGACTAAAGAGAGCTCTTGTCAGTAAAAGCAACCTGAATCCTCACTTTTTAACCAAGGGAGAAGGATGCTGTCTGGAATGAGTGCTGTAGATATGATGCCTTTGTATAATATAAGGTGCTGCTCACATTAATTGTCAGGGACTAGACAGAGTGAGGAACAAAGAGAGAAGGCTGGTTGTGGGATCCCAGGTCAGTCGTGGGGGCCTGCAGACCCGGGAAAGCCAGTGGTGGGGCTGAGACCATTTCCCCACTTCTGCAGTCTCTGAAAAGCCTGGGACCTGGAACTCGTGTGTGTGTGTGTGTGTGTGTATGTGTGTGTGTGGTATGGTGTGCCTCTACGTATGTGTGTCTGTGCTGCGATGTAATGCTGTATGTGTGTGTGTTTGTCTGTGTGTGTGTGTTGTTGAGGACCCTCAGGCTGGAGGTGATTGGGTGCCAGAGGTAATGTAGGGTGTGAGGTAGTTCCCAGGGCTGTTGCCATGGGGACTTGGCTGCCGCATCTCAGCCATGTACCGGGGCTGCTTCACTGTCTTCACAGAAAAGTGTCCATAGATGGTTGGGCCTGGGGACTGGGTGACATCTGAGGTGACTTCTTCTCTGTCTTACTTCTGTCTTTTTGGGCCAGAAAACATGAATTCCCTTATAAAGCCAATCAATATTGGCTTTATAAGACCAGGATGTCCTCTTAGGAGGATCAGCTTGGGAAGCTAGGTGGGTGTCTAGTTTGGAGAAAGTGGAAATAAAAAAATAATAATCTAAAAGTCAGTAAAACTCTATCCTGTTTTCTAACTTGACTTCTCCCCCCTCTAGACTTTGTTTGATATTTTCGTGGAGATGGAGAAGAGGACCATCCTAGGGGAAGAAAACTTGGACACCCTGAAAAGAATCTGTGAGCAGGTCAACAAGAGCCTGCTGAAGAAAATCATTGATTATGAAGAATTAAGAAAAGGTATAAATAACCTGAGAGCTGTGAATCAGCAAAATGTAGTCTTAAATTGACAGATGCTTCTATGTCACAACTGTTTCTAATCAAATATGTGTATGTTTCTTTTAAAATTCAGAGAGAAGAATGAGCCTTGAAAGAGATCCAGATGAATTTTCAAATGGTAATACTTGCAGATATGTTTTCAAGGTCTATTTAGTTAATTAACTTCCCAGTGGCTCTAGCGGTAAATAAGCTGCCTGCCAATGCAGGAGATGCAAGAGATGTGGGTTCAGTGTCTGGGTTGGGAAGATCCCGTGGAGAAGGAAATGGCAACCCACTCCAGTATTCTTACCTGGAAAATCCCATGGACTGAGGACTGGTGGGCTACAGTCCACGGGGTCGTAAAGAGTCGGACAATGACTAAACTACAAGCCTCACTGTGTCCTCTCTACAACCTTTACCACATCTGCATCTTAATGGACCTGCTCTCCTAATAGCGGTGACCTTCAGTCACCTTCTCTGCACATGGAAGATGTAAAAGGGGTTGTCAAGAGGCAGAGACCCTGTAGCCTCAGGCTGGCAAGTTTGAGATACAGGCAGAGTGAGTCAGTAGTAAGATTCTCCCTTATTCTGTGGATTGCAAGTATATTATGTTCAAGGCGGTCAGTGAATTTACATTTTAAAAGGGACCTTATGTTGTCCTGGGCGCCACCTCTTTCCTAACCAATATCTTCCCTGCCACATTTCATTCCAGATATGTCACAGCCGCTTCCAGAGGAGGGCTCCTCTGAGATGCTGGCCATGTCAGACTCTCCAGGAGAACAGGACAGTGAGTTGCAGGTACCAGGAAATTCCCATTCCTTTCCCCTTTTGTGCTGCAGATTCTAGTTACTGTGTTCCTGAGCTCCCCCCGCCCCCCACCCGAATAAACTAATAAGGGACAGAAACTTAATGAAAAGTGTTGAGAACTATAGAAAAATTCCACAAAAGCACAAGTTTAAAATGTGACTTTGGAATTTGGTAAAGGTGATCTCTTTGGTTTCCCATGTGTTACATGTCTATTTTAAAATCAAAGATGTTGGAAGGGTTGTAGGACAGAGGAGTAGGGAGCCTCGAACTTGATCCCGGTAGCAGCTGCCTCAGTCTAAATGGGAGGGGGCTTTGTGGGGGGGTGGGGGGAGAGATGAGCAGGACTGGAAAAAGCAAAGTCTTCGTTTAGCTTGGCATTTCAAAACTGTTTCTCCTTTGTGACTGGGCGTAAGCAGCAAATGTTCACGATCTAGTCATCTTTATGTTCTCCTCCCATTGAGCAGGCCCAAGAATCGCCTTTCCTGGTATCACTTCTGTTTCTGTAACCTTCAACACTTTACCACCTTCTTACTCATCAGCCCATTCACTCTTCCCAGGGAAGCAGAGGAATTGCTATAAGCCAAAAGTCTAGTGAGAAAAACTTGAAATTAAGCTTAGGAGAGACCATTCATTAGTGGGCTCCTGGGCAAATTACCAGACCTCTCTTGGTATGAGCATCAAGGATTAGGCAAAGTCATGTGGCACTTTGTAAACAGTAAAGCACTCTGCTGACGTCGTCCCCACCCATCAGCTAACGACACCAAGGGCAAGAGAGATTCAATAACTTGTCCCAAGTCTTGAGGTTATTGAGCCAGGAATTTGGCCCCCTAGTCTGGGGCCCTCTCTTCTACCTTGAGGAGCTGCATGGATTTCCCAATAAATGCTAAATATCTCAGCACTAAAACAGCCCTGGGGAAATCAGGAGGTCACAGAGTCACTGTCAAGTACTAGAACCTGGATATTGTGACCCCCAGCATAACCCATCTGTCTCCTCCAGTCACTGTGGTCCTCAGAGCCAAGTTAAGCCATCAGCTTTAAAAATCCTGGGACCATGCTGCATCGTGTGACAGATAGGTCCTCAGCTGTTGGCCCAGAGCATGGATGAGATGATCAGAGAGCCAAGGGAATCTCAAGGCCACAAAGGGCCGCCTAGAGACAGCACAACAGTAGTCCTCAGTCCAGCAACTCCTGACTGAGCTCTCTCAAATGAATAATAAATCCTAGTCCCTGCCACAGATGCTCTGTGCCTTGAGCAGAGATGAGAATAAATAATACTAGTACAATATGATGACAACACTATTAATATAAGTACCAATGCTCAGGAGGCCCAAATAATGGGACACTGATTTTACACGTGAAACTGTGGGGAAGAAGTCTGGGGATCCTTTGTCCGGGGAATGAATGGAGACTAGATCCTTAGCGGAGCAGCTCCAAGTTGGGGTTGGGCCATGGAAAGTGCATTTGCATCCCAGGTGGGCTTGGGTGATGCCTAACCAGAGCTGACCCAGAGAGTCAGCTCCTGGGTTGGATTTTTGTTTTTCAGACATCCGACACAGTTTACCGAATGACAAGCAAACCTCGGGGATACTGTTTGATCTTTAACAATTATGATTTTAGCATAGCGCGGAGGAAGGTGCCCGAACTTCAGAAACTAAAGGATAGGAGTGGAACACACATGGATGCAGGTACAGTAGAACAGAAAAAACAAATGAAATATTTCTAATACCTATGTCTTTGTTGAAAAGGGAGAACAAAAACTGTATCAACAGGGCCACATGTTTCAAAAAAGGTGGATACAACCATATTTCCCTGTGGACAGGAAGAACATTCTTATATATTTGCTAGTTTTCTGCTTTTGGTTTTTTTAAATTAATTTTTAAAATCAAAGCAATATATTTATTAAGATAAAATATTAAATCTTACGAGAAGGCTGTCAGCAACAATAAGCTTTGTTTTTGTTTATTTTTGGCTACACTAGGTCTTCGTTGCTGCATGCAGGCTTGCTCAGTTGTAGCTAGTGGGCTTCTTGTTGTGGTAGCTTCTCTTGTGGCTTGAGGACTCTAGAGCGCGGGCTCAGTAGTTGTGGCTCATGAGGTTAGTTGCCCAGTGGCATGTGGGATCCTAGTTCCTGGACCAGGGAACAAACCTAGGTCCCCTGCATTGGCAGGTGGATTTTTATCCACTGGACCACCAGGGAAGTCCCTAAACTTCATTTATAATTCAACTAAATGCATAGAACTTCTGTAGAGTGTCTTAGGTATTGGGTGAAAACATTGCTTTGGTATGGACCATTTACAGAAGTTGGGCTCTGAGTGCAGCAGAAATTGAGTTCTTAACATAAATAGCATTTTCAAATGTTAAACTAACCAGAAATTCTTTGGCTCAGTCTTTTCCGGCTAAGATTGAGATCTTACAGGTTGAATGAAAAGTAATTTGCATCATGTGAATGTAGATATGACGACAACTAAAAGCAATAAAAGAAATAATCCAGCCCAGTCCATAGTGATATTAAGAATTTCAACTTGATGAAAGAATTTTTGAAAATGGTGTTTATGAGTCATAACATCAGGTAATGACTTATTTTTTTTAAGTAGAGTAGTGCTTAGAAAATTAAGATAGGTTGATTTTAGTCATCAGGACTCTGTGAATGTTTTCTGTTAACATTTGTTTATTCAAGCAAGTCTATTCTAAGGTTTTTAAACAGCCATAGAGCTTAAGTTCACTGGCTACATCATTTATCATCATATATCTTGGTTTATTTTAATAAGGAAGGAAGCATATTAAAGAATATTATATTTACATAGTACTGGTAATATATAGATTTCTACTGCTTCAACTAAATGTTATAAATGTTTAAGAAAACCAAGTACTCATCATCCACAATAGAAACTCAATACAAAAGTCTAAAATTTATAAATAAATAAATAGAAATGTACCCAAATTCATTACAAAATGGAGGCTAACACCACCCCCACCCCACCCCCCCCAAAATAGTTAAAAGTTGAAAGTGGTTGCCTTCACGGAAGTGGCTGGACAGAATATAACTCAGTAGTAGGAAAGAGTAGAGAAGGGGTGACTTTTTTGTAATAAGTCTTTTAGTTCTACTTGACTTTTTAAACATTCATATCTTGTATTTTGATAAACAGTTCCGAGAGGATACACGATAAAATAAGTATGGATTTTGTATTAAAAATTTGTTTTGCTTTCTTTCTGGTTATGTCAGTAGTACAGTTAGCTTTTAGACTGGTTCAGTAGTAAGCCTTAAAAATAGCTTACTGATCTTGTAGACTAGTTGAGAAAAGACAATAGCAATCTCCCCTTTCTCATTTGCCTCAGAACTGGGAAATGTTTGCAGCTAGTGGCAGTAAATATTAGAAGCCTATGGAATCCAGCCACTAATATAATGGGTCTTGTTCTTAAATTCTGGTTCAAATTCTTATCTGATCAGTGTCCTCTCTAGTTCTAGGTTGTGGTCTAGGAATTACTGCAGTATACTATTGACTTTTCTTTCTTTTGTTTTCTATGAATTTATTTACTTTTGGCTGCATTGGGTCTTCATTTCCGTGTGTGGACTTTCTCTAGCTGCAGCGAGTGGGGGCTACTCTCTCTGTGGTGTGTAGGCTTCTCATTGTGGCGGCTCCTCTTCTCGCAGAGCAAGGGCATTAAAGTATGCAGGCCTCAGTTGTTGCCATGCCCTGGGCTTAGTTGCTCCAAGGAATGTGGAACCTCCCAGGACCAGGATCTAACCCACACCCCCTGCAGTGGCAGGCAGATTCTTAACCACTGGATCACGAGGGAGGTCCAATATGATTTTTCTTGTTTTACTTTCCAGAGGCTTTGGACAAGACCTTTAGGGAACTTCATTTTGAGATAGTGCACTACAAAGACCAAACAGCAAAGGAAATCTATAAGGCTCTGGAATTCTACCAGAAGAAGGACCACGAAAACAGAGACTGCTTCATCTGCTGCATCCTCTCCCATGGAAACCAGGGCATCATCTATGGCACCGATGGGCAAGAAGCCTCCATCTATGAGCTGACCTCTTTCTTCACTGGCTTAAAATGCCCTTCCCTTGCTGGCAAACCCAAAATCTTTTTTATTCAGGCTTGCCAAGGGGATGACTACCAGAGAGGTATAGCTGTTGAGACCGACTCAGAAGTCTGTTTAGAAATGGATTCAGCACCTCGGAGGAGATATATCCCAGATGAGGCTGACTTTCTGCTGGGGATGGCCACTGTGAACAACTGTGTCTCCTACCGAAGCATCAGGGAAGGGACCTGGTATATCCAATCGCTTTGCCAGAACCTGAGAAAAAGATGTCCTAGGTAATTTTTGCTTATTCAATCCTACATTCATCTCCAAATGTGTAGTTGTGGATCACATAGCTGATTCTCAGGTCAGTTGCAGAGTGAAAGAGGCAGAAAGTGTTAAGATCTTTAGTTCACAGATGGAAAAATCTGAGATGCTTACTGAGGATTTTCTTTTATTTAGCACTTCAAAAGACAATCAGTATATCATAGAGCTGGAGAGATGGCAAAATCATATAGTACAGCTCTGTTTTTAGGCAGAAACCTGACTGAACCCACTCAACAAGTTTGGAATTTCAGTGTTTAACATTCTCTTACTCTGTCAAAAATGAAAGTGTTAGTCGCTCAGTTGTGTCTGACTCTTTATGACCCCATAGACTGTAGCCCACCAGGCTCCTCTGTCCATGCAGTTTCCCAGGCAAGAATACTGGAGTGGGTTGCCATATCCTCCTCCAGGGGATCTTCCCAACTTGGGAGTGAACCCAGGTCTCCTGCATTGCAGGTGGATTTTTTTTTTTTTAAACCATCTGAGCCACCAGGGAAGCCTTCTGTAATAGCTCACCAACCTCAAACCCTCTTGTGGGAGTTAAGAGTCAAAGTGTAGAAACCTTTTGTATTCCCAATAATTTGACTGCTTTGAAGCTCACAAAATGTGGGAAAATATCTTTTCCTCATTTATTATCTTATGTTTCCATTAGTTAAGTGATAGTTTTGTATGACTTAGCTCACTTAATGTACATACAACCAGCAAATAAATAGCAAGAACTCCTCTGCAAGTTGCTTCTAGTTTTGTGTCTCATTATGTTTTAACTGTGTGAAAAGCAAGAACTGTCCACGGCAGAGAAAGGACTGAGAGAGAACCATAACATCCAGGCTACATTTTCATTTTGTAACTTAGATAGTGAATGAACCTGCAAGGTTCCAGAGGGCTAGCTACAGAGGCGAATAAACAGGTTGCCCAACTAAAGTGATAAGAGGTGCTGGTGAGAAAGGGGTGGAGTTGCTGCAGGAGACATTCTATTTCCACTTGCTTCAAGTTTGATGGGGCCATCAGTGAATCCACAGAGGCAATGCCAGTTTGAGGCAGAGGATGTTGAGGGGCCTTGAGGAGATTAGTGGGTAAGTGACATAGTACTTGGAGTGAGGTACAAAGGTCAGGAGGGAAAGAAACCAAATCCAGTGTTGACACTGAGGTTTCTGATGGTCATAAGATACCGAGTAAACCAAAGGTAAGTTATGAAGCTCTGAGAACTTCTTTACCTAGAAAGCTGTGGTAGGCTTTGGTTTAACACCTTATGAATTCAAATGCCTGATGTTTTGAGGGAAATAATTATCACTAACTACAGTAGATGATCTTGATTTCCTCCCATAGATGGTCACAATGTTCTGTTACATTTTTCAGGGGTGAAGACATTCTCACCATCCTAACCAAGGTGAACTTCGAAGTAAGCAATAAGGATGACAAGAGAATTATGGGCAAACAGATGCCACAACCTACTTTCACACTGCGAAAAAAACTCTTCTTTCCTCTTAATTGATTCTGTTGTCTAGTTGTATAACTAGACAATAGTTATGCAACTGAAAAATGGTGAAAACGCTGCTACTTTATTCTATTTCTTCTTCTTTTTATTTTCAAATAGCTGGGAGAGCATGGGAGTCAGGACAATATAATTTTTATGCTAATTCAAGCTTAAATTTCTGGCTTGTAGACAGTAACTAGACAGTCATAGCTGTGGGCTTGACTTCCATTGTGTTTTTAATTTGATGAAAAGGTTTAAAAATGAACTAAAATAGATACAAAAAACACAGTAAGTTTAAAAGAAATGTCAAAGATCATGGAGGGAGACTTTTGTGATCTGAGCTAGCTAAAAATCCCCCTTGACTATTGAGGTTCAGGGTATAAAGTTCCCACATCCAGCCTGATTACTGCTGGTGAGTTTGATAAGCTATCCTGGAAACATGTGACCCTCCTCTCCTTAGCAGACCCTACTTTTCAGCGGTGAAAACCACCACTCTAGACTTCGGTTTCCAAAGCTTAGAGATTATTTTCTTTTTAAAAAAAAAATTATTCATAAATGCAGGATCCAACCTACTTTTAAGAGAAACAATATTAACTTGTTTTGTACTTCCAGTAGGTCTTTTCCCAAGCTATCCTTTATACTAATTTGCAAGATTCTTTTAAATAAAAAATTTAAAAATTCATATATTAAAGATTTTTAAAATACCAAATAATTTTGTTTTTTTTAGAATCTTTCCAAACTCCCTTTTCAGCTTTTATATACATGCTTCTGTAGTGCTGAACATGATTTGCTTTTATGCTAACAATGCAGTATGCCTTTTACACATTTGCTCTTTCTTTATATGTTCAACTCAGTTTAAATCTTTAGTAATTAATAATTAGTAATGTAATAAATATTTTTAGCAGAATAAAATGTAATTTTATCATACTATTTCTTGGAGATTGTTTTTGTTTTTTTGCCAATAAAATCTAGTCTTACAGGCAGAAAATGTTTGGATCATAGATATGTTTTCCTTGAGGCTTCCAATATCGGTTCACATAGTTGTATTTTTTAAACATTTCTGGTCTAAAAAAAATCCCACTTCTCCATATTTAAAAATTTGAAGCTGTCACATAAAGCCCAGAATACTTTCTTTTGAAGATCAGAGTATCTGACCACAATTACACCATGCTTCTGTTTGGCAACAATGAAATGGGTTCACCAAATTTCCACAACCCTTATCCCATACCCCCAGTCCCCACACCATCCTGCCCAATTCCCTCATTGAGAGTTCTGCCAGTTACCATTTATCACTGTGCTTATATGGTTATTTTTTTCTCATGTCAAGCCCACTTCCCTTATTTATGTTGCCTGCCTTCTGGACATTTGAATTCTGGGAATAGTTTAGAGATGATGGCAGGAATCATCAGAAATTCTTCCCAAATCACAGGGTAGGGAACATATTGAGAAGTAGGGGAGTGGAGACACATATAAGAGAGAAAAGGTTTGGGGGATCAATTCAGCAAATTATCATTCTTGCTAGTGAAATGTCTGGGGGACAAAAGGCACACCCCAAAATATTGTCAACATTTAATAGAAAGAAGTGCAAGTGTCTTCAGGTAAGTGTCTTTGGTAATGAAATATGTAAAGGTGGAAGAGAAAATAGTACAAAGCCTAGAGACCCTCAGCTCTAGGTATAGAGACAGTCACTTTTCAATGAAGAGTCATGAATGTCTATGTAATTAAAATGAGAATTCAAACATTCTCAGTCACTCAGAAGAAAACAAATTGTGAAAAGTCACAAGTAGAATCAAGGCAAGGCCAAAAGCTAAACTCACCATATGCATTTCTCAAGAAAAGCTCACAGGAGTTCTTAAGCCTACCAAAGATGGTTCCTAACATCTTTGGTCATAGAGACCAACTCTTCTTCTCATGATTCTTGTGTTTCGTTGCCACCATCTTCTAAAGTGTCAGAATTATGCTCGTAAATAACAGAGGTAGATCTCCCAGATAGTTCATCATAAATTTCTTCATTTTTGGCAATTATCTTTTGCCTATAAAGAGAAGATTTATCACTATAGAGGTGAAGGGTAGAAAGGGATATAAGACACCTGGGAGGCAGAGAAATGTGGTTTTATTCCTTCACTGGCTGGGAGTGGTCTCTTTCAATATTTGCAGTGATTTTGAATTTAGGGAGACATGAAATTTGGATTACCACATTCTCATATGAAGAATTTATGACAAAATTAACACAGTGAACAATTTCCCTTTGCTAAAGTATTGACCAAAAGTTACTTCAATGATTTAAGATGCATCTTCAGGTAACAGTATAATTTCTGACCTGAGGTTGATTTTCATAGGAACCAAATGCAGCTGCATTTAAAGGTAAACTATTGACACCTAAGTCCCATGTAAAAAAAAGATACCAACAAAAGACTCTTTAATGGGGCTTCCCTGATAGCTCAATTGGTAAAGAATCCTCCTGAAATGTGGGAGATCCGGGTTCAATCCCTGGGTTGGGAAGATCCCCTGGAGAAAGGAAAGGCTACCCTCTCCAGTATTCTAGCCTGGAGAATTCCATGGACTGTACAGTCCATGGGGTCACAAAGAGTCAGACAAGATGGAGCAACTATTATTCTTCATTAAATAGAGTAGGGAGGCCAGAAGGGGGAGCTCTCATGCCCTGAGATGGTAGCAGAGCCCAAAAGGAAGAAACACTCCTCTTGTTTTCTAGTAATAACTCAGGCAGAGAAAAGTCATGGGCTCTGTTTACTATAGCCCTCCCCTATTACTTTTTCCCCTCTATAAAAGCATTCTTTTTCCCTTTCTATGTGGGACCTTGCACATGGCTTGCCATATTTCAGTTCAGTTCAGTTCAGTCACTCATTCATGTCTGACTCTTTGTGACCCCATGGACTGCAGCATGCCAGGCTTCCCTGTCCATCACCAACTCCCAGAACTTACTCAAATTCACGTCCATCAAGTTGGTGATGCTATCCAACCATCTCATCCTCTGTCGTCCCCTCCTCCTCCCGCCTTCAATCTTTCCCAGCATCAGGGTCTTTTCCGATGAGTCAGTTCTTCACATCAGGTGGCCAAAGTATTGGAGTTTCAGCGTCAGCATCAGTCCTTCCAATGAATATTCAGGACTGATTTCCTTTAGGATTGACTGGTTGGATCTCCTTGTAGTCCAAGGGATGCTCAAGAGTCTTCTCCAACACCACAGTTCAAAAGCATCAACTCTTTGGCTCTCAGCTTTCTCTATAGGTCCAACTCTCACATCCATACATGACTATTGGAAAAACCATAGCTTTGACTAGACAGNCGGCTGTCCAAGTGTTACCCCAGGGTATTTATACCTATGGTCTGGGGCCACCTCAGTTTAGTGCAATGAAATTGGTCTGAAGTTTAAAATCTTGTCTCCTTACCCTTCCCACCCTCTGCACCTATGCAGCCCAGAGCTCCTCTCTAACTTCCCGTCTGCTCCCCACCCCTCCCCCAAACCCAAGAACCAGCTCCGCCCAGTCTTCACTGTTCTTCAGGGCTTTCTCCTGTTATGCTGTTTAGATATTGTTTATAACTATGTTTTTAAAAAGACTTTTAAAATATAATTTAATTAATTTATTTATTTTTGGCTGTTCTGGGTCTTCGTTTCTGCATGGGCTTTACTCTAGTTGTGGAGAGCAGGGGCTACTCTAGTTGTGGTGCAAAGGCTTCTCACTGCTGTGGCTGCTCTTGTTGTGGAGCAGGGGCTCTAGGCACTTGGGCTTCAGTAGCTGCAGCTCATGGGCTCTAGTGAAAGTTGCTCAGTCTTGTCTGACTCTTTGCAACCCCATTGGTTATACAGTCCATGGAATTCTTCAGGCCAAAATATAGTCTGTTGTTTCATGTCCAGTTCTAACTGTTGCTTCTTGACCTGCATACAGATTTCTCAGGAGGCAGGTCAGGTGGTCTGGTATTCCCAACTCTTGAAGAATTTTCCAGTTTATTGTGATCCACACAGTCAAAGGCTTTGGCATAGTCAATAAAGCAGAAGTAGAGGTTTTTGCTGGAACTCTCTTGCTTTTTCAATGATTCAACAGATGTTGGCAATTTGATCTCTGGTTCCTCTGTCTTTTCTAAATCCAGCTTGAACATCTGGAAATTCACAGTTCATGTACTGTTGAAGCCTAGCTTGGAGAATTTTGAGCCTTACTTTGCTAGCATGTGAGATGAGTGCAATTGTTCAGCAGTTTGAACATTGCTTGGCATTTCCTTTCTTTGGGATTGGAATGAAAACTGACCTTTTCCAGTTCTGTGGCCATTGCTGAGTTTTCCAAATTTGCTGGCATATTGAGTGCAGCACTTTCACAGCATCATCTTTTAGGATTTGAAGTAGCTCAACTGGAATTCCATCACCCCCACTAGCTTTGTTCGTAGTGATGCTTCCTAAGGCCCACTTGACTTCACATTCAAGGATGTCTGGCTGTAGGTGAGTGATCACACCATTGTGGTTATCTGGGTCATGAAGATCTTTTTTGTACAGTTCTTCTGTATATTCTTGCCACCTCTTCTTAATATCTTCTGCTTCTGTTGGGTCCATACCATTTATGTCCTTTATTGAGGCCATCGTTGCATGACATGTTCCCTTGGTATCTCATTTTCTTGAAGAGATCTCTAGTCTTTCTCATTCTATTGTTTTCCTCTATTTCTTTGCATTGATCACGGAGGAAGGCTTTCTTATCTCTCCTAGCTATTCTTTCGAACTCTGCATTCAGATGTTTATATCTTCCCTTTTCTCCTTTGCCTTTCACTTCTCTTCTTTTCTCAACTATTTGTAAGGTCTCCTCAGACAAACATTTTGCCTTTTTGCATTTCTTTTTATTGGGGAATGGTCTTGATTACTGCTTCCTGTATAATATCACAAATCTCTGTTCATAGTTCTTCAGGCACTCTGTCTATCAGATCTAATCCCTAGAATCTACTTCTCACTTCCACTGTATAATCGTAAGGGATTTGATTTAGCTCATACCTGAATGGTCTAGTGGTTTTCCCTATTTTCTTCAATTTAAGTCTGAACTAGGCAATAAGGAATTCATGATCTGAGCCACAGTCAGCTCCTGGTCTTGTTTTTGCTGACTATACACAGCTTCTCCATCTTTGGCTGCAAAGAATATAATCAGTCTGATCTTGGTATTGACCATCTGGTAATATCCATGATGTGATATCACACATGTGATATCCATGTGTAGACCATGTTCATAGACCCCAAATTGAAATTCTTTGGTTATTCCATAAAACCCCATCATTGCTGGAGAAATAACTGGCCGTGTATTTGTTTGACGTCAACATTTGGTGGCCGATACAGGGGCCAGAGATGATCCTCAATGGCTCTGGACCCGGTGAGCAAACAGTTGCGATGCTCACAATTGAGCCCACTGAGTTTACTGTTTTTCTCAATGACCCTAGAGTTTGAAGGTATATCTTTCGTCTGGATCTGAACCCATACCCTCTTTGCTCTCTGACTTTATTCAGAATCTGTTTTAAGGTTTTGTGTTTCTGGTTAAGGCCTTGTTCTATTTGTGAGTACTCATTTGGTACTTGGGTCTGATTTTGTGATTGGACTGTTTCAATGAAAGCTGGCTGAGAAGCTGTCAGCCCTTTCCTTTGGGAACAGGAGCGGTTTCATTGAAGCTGAAGCTGTTGGCCCCTTCCTTTGAAACATGGGCTGTTTCCTGGAAACTGGCTGAAAACCCTCTGGACTGGCTACTTTGGGATCAAGCTGTTTCATTAGAACTGGTTGGTATTAGCTGGTAGGCTGCTTGAGCTGAAAGCTGTTTGAATTGAACTGTTCGAGCTGTCAGTTATTTGAAAATTATTCTTTTATTTCAGAGAGAAACCTCTGAGAAAGGGGACCCCTGTTACCTAGATATTTTGAAATCTCAATCCCAGGGATTCCAACCAGTTTAATGCTTAGAAACTGTGGTCCTCAAAACAAAACAGAAAACTGTGGTCCTTCTTCATGTGCATTTCTAGCTGAATGGGCTAGTCCAAATCAAAGGCAGGTTAGGATCTCAATAGCCATTATGCGGAGCTTTTGAAATCTCCAAACTTAATTTTCTTAAAACCAAATTAGACAACAATAATTCAAAAATTTCCAGAACTGAGTGGAATGCTTATTTTGAGCCTGGTAAATGTCATCACGAGTCTAAAATTGCCTCTCTGCAAAAATAAGATTTTTAAGGTTAACTGAGGCAAATAAATAATTAAAGAAAGATAAAATCGTTGCTGAAACTTCTGGATCGTCTTCTTCGGCCTCTTTGTCTCAGGCTCCATCTCTGTTTCTATCTTGAGTCTCTTCTTTGGCTCTTTGTGACCAGACTCTGCCTCTGGCACCATCCCCTCCTACCCTTCTATGCTGCTTACACTTCCTTTATACCCTTTGCTCCGCTATAGTAATTCCTTTACTGAACTTTCCCTTCTTTCTGAAATTCTCCCCATTCCCTCTTCCTCTGAACTTGTCAGAACCTGTCCCTTTAAAATTAAGCAGTCTGAGAATCCAGATCCTTAATTTCTCATCCTCCTTGGACTAAAGCTGAACTGTGAGCCATGGTCAAAGATTCGGAATAACCAAAGAGCCTCACAGATTTGCTTAGGAGTTTACTATAGTCATTCAAACTTACTGACCTGGTTTCTCTAACTTATATAGTTCATATATATGCTTGTTGGGGAAGGCCAGTCTCAGTATTGGATGAAAACTGCTAATTAAGAAAATCCTAACAGATCTCAAAAATTACAACCAGGAGACCTACTAACTTATATGGCTTGAGTAACCGCTAGGTGACTTCATCGCATGATTCCTAGGGCTTTTCCAAAGCCTGTTGATTAAAAGAAAATTCAGGCTTGCACATAAAAATGTAACAAACCTGTTCATGACAAATTACAATTGACTTCAGATTGTTTTTAAAGAAAATTCTGGTCCTCCTAAAGAGTTTGATTCTACCCAGGAAGCTTTTAACTCTACTTATTAATGGGTTGAACTGAAATCTTTCCCTGCTAAAAGGACGATATAGAATGGTAAATTTACATCCACTCCAGATTTAGTTCATTTGGCAAACCAGCTCTCTGACACTCATGGATGAGTCACCCATAAAGAAGACCACCAAAATCTTATCTTCAATTTCACAAAATTAAATTTCCTAAGCCAGACCAGAATCCTCCTAGTTTCTCCTGTTATTGCAAAGAGCCAGGACATTGGAAAAGAGATTTTACAGAGTCTAGCACTTCAGGTTGCTTCAGCCCTCTTAACCAGCCTTTCCAACATCCTTTCAATTCTCAGTGATGGGGCTCCAAGGAACTCCAGGGGCTCTTCCCAATCCTCCCTCCCAACTGGCTTGAAGAAACTTTTCTCCAAGTTGGGGATGAACCTCTTTCAGTCCTAAAAGACATCAGAGCCACACTCTCAGTGGTCAGCCCCTCTACAATAAAGCGGTCCCTGCCTCAGAGTTCTAAAACACTTCAGAGAGTGGGGAATCTCTAATGAGCCTCAAGGGGGTCCTGTCTCTGCACTTACTTCCTTTTTTAGGTCCTTTGAGACACACGTCCCTTTCTCCTTAGTTCCCCCATCTCTACCCATTTATTAAGCTGAGAATTCTTAGAGAAGTTTCATGCTGGAATTTCTTTCTCCTCATATAAAATAATTCTAGAATTTGACTACAATCATCAAAGCAGCCAACTAGGTGACTTAAAAGACCCTGTGACATCTTTTATTTGCTCCATCTCTCATGGACTTAAAGCTTATTCTGGAAACACTGGTCATCTGTCCTTCCTGAATCAACTACTATCTTCTTTATGGGCAAAATCTCCAACTGACATTGGCAAAATTCACAGTGTACTTGCCATCAAGATATTCAAATAGATCCCTCAGAACCTCTTCCTAGCATTAATTAATACCCCATAAGTAAAGAAGGCCTTCAAGGCATAAAGCCCTTAATAGAAAATCACAAGGCTCAAGGCCATGGATTTAAAAATAATTCTCAGTCGCAAAACTGAATAAACCCAGAGTGTCAGATAAACCTCATATGTTGTTTTGCATTAAAAACTAATAACAGAAAAGGGAGAGGGGTCTCCCAACATCATTTTAAAAGTGCTGACCTCAGAAGGTAACTTCTGTGGCCAGTGAATATCCCCCTGCCTTGACTTCATGAAGGAATACCTAGGTTCATTTCCACGCATCCCTCACCCATCACCACACAACATGGAACCGTAGTTCCCTGATCAGGGATTGATCCCAGGCCCCCTGCAGTGGAAGCGTAGAGTCGTAACCACTGGGCTGCCAGGAAATTCCTACGTTCACTTTCTGAAGACAATTCAGCCACGTCTTTTTGAGCAGCATCGTTCATACCTTAGATGAATGTTTTCTTCTGTCAAGTGGTGTATGGTGTACTTAAACTTGTCTTCAGCTTCAGTAAGCTTGATCTGGAGTGTTTTCTCCAGAGTTGCTACCACAGCTTTCTGAAAGACAGGTACATTTTAATAGCCATCTCTCCTAAATTAGAGTCACCCACGGCAGAGCTACATGGCAGAGGGTTCCTCCCTCCAGCTCCCATCCCCACTCCAGCCAAGATTCACCTCTCTCTGGAGTTCCATCTGGGTTTGGTAGAGGGTTGTGTTAAGTGATTCTAGGATAAGAGCTTGAGCATACAACTCTTCCTCTATGACCTGGGTGAGAAGAAACTGTTTCAGGACATTGCACTGATGTCTACCCATTTATCCTCTTGCTCAGGACATTTGGATTAGAATGTGAAGGCATCGACTTTAGCCACTCCTTCTCCTGCTCTGTTACTATGCCCTGTTCATTCTTCTCCTCTATGTCTCACTAGTCTATACCCCTCTCAACAGCCTCACTGATACTGCCCCACAGCCAGCCCTCACCAGAGCTCACATGGGTTGTCAAAATAGCTACCATTATCCATTCATTAAACAAGTATTTATTAAATATCTAGTATGAATTCCAACTACATGATAGTCTAGAAAATGCAGAATCATAGAGACAGTAAAAAGACCAGTGGTTGCCAGGAGTTAGGAAGGGAAGCAAGGAATGAATAGGAGGGTGGAGGATTTTTAGGGCACAGACACCATTCTGTATGATGCTGCAGTGGAGACTGCGGGACATGATGCCTGTGACAAAACCTATAGGATGCAAACAGGCGTGCCAGCCCCCCGTATACCAGCTGCTGCATTGTACTGCGTGCTTCTCAAGGTACTGTACTATAAGATTAAAAATGTTTTCTTTATTTTTTGTGTTTGCTTGTTTTTTATGTACATATTATTTGCATGAAAGGTATTACAAACCTATTAGAGTACAGGACTATATAGTCGATTGTGTTAGTTGGATACTTAAGCTAACTTTCTTGGACTTTTGAATGTACTCTCAGAATGGAACTTATTCATATGTAGGGAGGTATTGTACAATACAAAGAAGGAATCTAAGGTAAATTGGATTTTAGTTAATAATAATGTATTGATGTGGATTCATCAGGGGGCTTCCAAGTGGCTCAGTTGTAAAGAATCTGCCTGCCAATGCAGGAGACGTGGGTTCTACCCCTGGGTCAGGAAGAGCCCCTGGAAAAGGAAATGACAACCCACTCCAGTATTCTTGCCTTGGAAATCCCATGGACAGTAGCCCTGTCCATGGAGTCCCAAAAAAGTCTGACATGACTGAGAATGCATGCACCATCACTTTTATTGCAATGGCATTGGGCAAAGCACTGTACAAGGTCATCTGGCATTCTTTCATTGAAGTATTTATTTCAAAATAAATAAAATTAATTTATTTATTCATTTAAAAATTTTCAGTTTACTGGATGTCTGTGATATGGCAGGCAACATTCTAGGAACTGAGGATTAGTGGCAAGGAAAGCAGCAGACAAAAATGCCTGCCTTCCCCCAGTTTATCAGGTTAAATGGTTATAAGTCAGGGTGGAAAAACAAAATTTCTCAAGGTACTGTACTATAAGATTAAAAATGTTTTCTTTATTTTTTGTGTTTGCTTGTTTTTTATGTACATATTATTTGCATGAAAGGTATTAAAAACCTATTAGAGTACAGGACTATATAGTCGATTGTGTTAGTTGGATACTTAAGCTAACTTTGTTGGACTTTTGAATGTACTCTCAGAATGGAACTTATTCATATGTAGGGAGGTACTGTACAATACAAAGAAGGAATCTAAGGTAAATTGGATTTTAGTTAATAATAATGTATTGATGTGGATTCATCAGGGGGCTTCCGAGTGGCTCAGTTGTAAAGAATCTGCCTGCCAATGCAGGAGATGTGGGTTCTACCCCTGGGTCAGGAAGAGCCCCTGGAAAAGGAAATGACAACCCACTCCAGTATTCTTGCCTTGGAAATCCCATGGACAGGGCTACTGTCCATGGGGTCCCAAAAAAGTCTGACATGACTGAGAATGCATGCACCATCACTTTTATTGCAATGGCATTGGGCAAAGCACTGTACGAGGTCATCTGGCATTCTTTCATTGAAGTATTTATTTCAAAATAAATAAAATTTATTTATTCATTTAAAAATTTTCAGTTTACTGGATGTCTGTGATATGGCAGGCAACATTCTAGGAACTGAGGATTAGTGGCAAGGAAAGCGGCAGACAAAAATGCCTGCCTTCCCCCAGTTTATCAGCTTAAATGGTTATAAGTCAGGGTGGAAAAACAAAACAGAAAAAAGGAAGCGTCAGGCAGGTTGTTGAGCCTTTAAGGAGAGCATCCTCTGAGAAGCTGGCATTTGGAGAAAGACAGGGAGGAGGTAAGGAAGTGAGCTGTGTGGATATCTGGTAAAGAGCTTTCCAAGAAGGGAAAAGATCGAGTGCAAAGACTCTGAGGTGGGAGAAATTGGGCCTGTTAAGAAACAGTAAGCAGTCCAGTGCCACTGGAGCTACATGATGGTGAGAAGGAACAATTGAGACGAGGCAAGGGGAAAGAACCCCCAGCAGACATAACCCCCTAGACCAAAACAGGACTGGGGAAATTCATGCTTCCGCCATGCATGTGTGTTAGTCGCTTTAGTCGTGTCCAACTCTTTGCGACCCCATACACTCTAGCCTGCACGCTCCAGCCAGAATGTAAAAACCCTTTTAATACACAGAGATTACTCAGCAGTGGGAAAAAAAAAACTAGCCCTAGATCAAGACTGCTTTAATTTTGCCTAACAAAGCTTAAAACCAAGGCTTGAAAAATCAAACTGTTTCCAAGTAAGTTCTTTTTTTAAAGAAATGGTTCTGTGTGTGTGTGTGTGTGTGTGTGTGTGTGTGTGTGTGTGTGTGTTTTAGTTTTTGTGATTTATTCGGCTGTGTTGGGTCTTCGTTGCTGCAAGGAGGCTTTCTCGAGTTGCAGTGAGTGGGGGCTACTCTCTGGATGCTGTGCGTGGACTTCTCCTGGCCAGGGCATCTCTTGTTCCAGAGCACGGTTCTGGGGCTCATGGGCTTCAGCAGTTGTGCTGTGTGGGCTCAGTAGTTGCTGGCTCCTGAGCTTAGGGCACAAGCGCAGGAGTTGTGGTGCGCGGGCTTAGCTGTCCCTTGGCATGTGGGATCTTCCTGGGTAAGGGACTGAGCTCCTGTCTTCTGCATTGGCAGGCAGATGCTTTACCACTGAGCCACCACGGAAGCCCATTTCCAAGTAACTTAACTGAATCCCAGAAGAAAGGTTAATGGCATCTAAAGGAGTACAAAAATATTCAGCACCTAGTAAGGTAAAGGTCACAATGGCTGGCATCCAATAAAAAAATTAAGCGAGAAAATATGACCATACATGAGGAGCAAAATAAATTAATTGCAATAGACCCAGCAATGATACAGTGATAGGATTAGTAGTCAAGCCCATTAAAACCATTCTCACAGCACACTGAGTCTACCTCATACCTGAGTCCACCCCTTTACCTTGAAGGACATTACGACTGTTTGCCCAACAAAGCCGAAGTCCAGCCTGGGCTCTACGATGTCATGCCATGCTTTCAGAATGGCTAATCTTTTCCCAAATGGGTCCATCCTGGATTCAAACTAAATTCACAGTGGAAGAAGAACCAAAAGGCAGTTTGTGGGTTTGAACAATTTCCCTTCTGATATCTCCTTTATGGAAGTGCTATAATTTGTTCCAGAAAAAAAGTTCCTAGAGAGGCTGTGGAGGTGAGGTAAATACACCCAGTGTTTTAAGGAAAGGCTTGAAGTCAGAGTTCCCAAGAGGCAGTGTTGTACTTTTCAGAGTCTGATGGAAGAATCTGGCATTTTACTGTTTAAGGCTCACTTGTTGTTAAAGCCTTGTGAGAAGTGGAAGGCATTTAACACTGAAGATCTCACAGTATATTGTTCATCTATTTGTTCAGATCTCGCTCTAAAAAGACAGCAATGGCTTTCTTTTTTCAGATAGTTCTGAAATCCTTTTTGACAGTGAATCCAGCAAACTCAGCTTTGTGTGTATGTGTGCTAAGTCACTTCAGTCCTGTCTGACTCTTCGTGACCCCAAGGACTGTAGCTGGCCAGGCTCCTCTGTCCATGGGATTCTCCAGGCAAGAATACTGGAGTGGGTTCCCATTTCTTCCTCCAGGGGATCTTCCTGACCCAGGGATTGAACCCGTGTCTCCTGTGGCTCCCAAACTACAGGCAGATTCTTTACCGCTGAGCCCTGGGGAAGCCCTAACTCAGTTTTAGCTCTTTTGTTTTTCAATGGTTTGGGGGAAATTATCATAGATTCCATTTTATTGAGAGTGTATCATTTTAGCAATATATTTGTAAGAGGCTAATTTCACCGGAAAAATGAAAAAGCTTACCTCTTTTGTCTTTCTAAGCTCCTCTAATTGCAAGGTATCCCTTTCATGTTGTTTTAAGAGCTCCTAAAAAGAATTTTATTTAGAAAAGGTCAGCAACTAGGGTTCTGGCACTTCTTTCAGAAAATTAAGAAAGCTAGAATAGGATTCAGGAATGCAATATTCACCAAAGCTCAGATGTTGCTTTAATAAAGCATGCATTATAAAGTAGTGACATGACATGTTGAAGTTAAATGATGAAAATCTTACTCAGACTCAACCTTAGTGTATCAAGAAATATTAAAAGCAACCATATTTTCATTAAAGAGTTTTCTTTTGTTAGGGTACAGATTTAATACTGTTAAATATCCAATTTTCCACAGACCGAACTTTACATTCATTGCAATCCCACTTAAAATACCACTAGGCTTTCTTGACAAGATAATTATAAAATTTATATAGAAATTCAAAGGCTGCAGAAGAACCAAAATAACCTTGGAAAGCAAGACCAAAGTTGGAAGATTTTTTTTCTCCCTGATTTTAAGCTACAGAAATTAAGACATTGTTTCGTTGGCCTAAATATAGACAGATAGTTGAATGGAGCAGAATGGAGAGCTTGCCCCCTACCCCCTCAAATACAACAAAGACATCAAGGTAACTTAATGGAGAAAGGGACATTTTTTTCAACAAATCATTCTGAAACAATGAATATCAATATGGAAAAGATGACCTAAAATCTTTAACTTGTTCCATACCAAAAAAAATTATTCAAAATAGATCACAGAATCATAAATGCTAAAGTTATGAAACTTTTTAAAAACTAGAATATCTTCATGTTCTTGGAATAGGCAACAGTTTCACAGGGGACACAAAAAGCTATTACCAGACGAGGAAAAAGTCGATAACCAACTTTTCTTTGACAGTAAAACTTTTGCATGTGGAGAGACAATGTGAGCAAAATGAAAAGGCAAACCACAGAATTCACAGCATGTATATCTGACAAAAAACTGTATCCATAGTATAAAAAGTACTCCTACATACCAATTATAAAAAGGTAAATAACACAATTTTTTTTTAACTGGCAAACACTTGAACCAAACTTCACAAAAGAAGACATATAAATGGTCCAATAAGCATATGAAAGTTTGCCTGATATAATTAGTCATCAGGGAAACTAAAATAATAATGAAATAGCACTTTATACTTATTGCTGAGCTGTGCTGTGCTCAGAGGCTTCTGTCATGTCCAACTCTTTGTAATCCGATGAACTGTAGCCTGCCAGGTTTCTCTGGCCGTGGGATTCTCCAGGCAAGAATACTGGAGTGGGTTTCTGTGCCCTCCTCCAGGGTCATACCCATTGAAATAGCCAAAATTTAAAGATCGGCAATACTCAGAAATTCCCTGGCAGTCCAGTAGTTAAGACTCCACACTCACTGAGGGCCTGAGGGCCTGGGTTCAATCCTTGGTCAGGGAACAAAGATGCATGGTGCAACCAAAACACAAAATTTTAAAAAAAGCTTCTTAAGGAAAAGATTAGTAATATTAATTGTTGATGATATAGAACAACTGGCATTCTCATATAGTCGAGATGCAAGAGGAAAATGGCACATATCTTAGTACTTTGTTATAAAGTTAAACCTATCCCTACCTTATAGTCCAGTAACAACACATCTAGGTATATACCCATGAGAAAGGAGAGCATAAGTCTACAAGAATAGTTACACAAGTTATTTATCGAAGCTTTGTTTGTAAAAAGAAAAAAATAGAAACAACCAAAATCTCCAAAAACAGAAAAATGGTGAACACATTGTGTTATATTCCTACAAAGAAATACTACTGTGCAATAAAAGGAAGAAATTACTGATAAGAACAATGAATGGATAAATTTCACAGAAATAATTGAGGGGAAAGAAGCTACACAACAAAGCACATATAGTGTATGATTCTATTTATATGCAGTTTAAAAACAGGTGAAACTAATCTATCGCTGTTTCACCTATTCACTTGCTCCTTGGAAGAAAAGCTATGACTAACCTAGATAGCATATTAAAAAGCAGAGACGATACTTTGCTGACAAAGGCCCGTCTAATCAAAGCTGTGGTTTTTCGAGCGGTCATGTATGGATGTGAGAGTTGGACCATAAAGAACGTTGAGCACATGGAAGCAACCTAGATGCCCATCAGCAGATGAATGGATAAGGAAGCTGTGGTACATATACACCATGGAATATTACTCAACCATTAAAAATAATTTATTTGAATCAGTTCTAATGAGATGGATGAAACTGGAGCCCATTATACAGAGTGAAGTAAGCAGAAAGATAAAGACCATTACAGTATACTAACGCATATATATGGAATTTAGAAAGATGGTAATGATAACTCTATATGCAAAACAGAAATAGAGACACAGATGTACAGAACAGACTTTTGGACTCTGTGGGAGAAGGCAAGGGTGGGATGTTCTGAGAGAACAGCATTGAAACAAGTATACTATCAAGGGTGAAACAGATCGCCAGCCCAGGTTGGATGCATGAGACAAGTGCTCAGGCCTGGTGCACTGGGATGACCCAGAGGGATGGGATGGAGAGGGAGGCGGCAGGGGTATCGGGATGGGGAACACATGTAAATCCATGGCTGATTCATGTCAATGTATGGCAAAAACCACTACAATATTGTAAAGTAATTAGCCCCCAACTAATAAAAATAAATGGAACAAAAAAGTTTAGTAAAAATGAAAAAAAACGAAAGAAAGCTGAGCACTGAAGAATTGATGCTTTTGAATTGTGGTGTTGAAGAAGACTCTTGAGAGTCTGTTGGACTGCAAGGAGTCAAACCAGTCAATCGTAAAGGAAATCAGTCCTAAATATTCATTGGAATGGCTGATGCTGAAGCTGAAACTCCAATACTTTGGCCGCCTAATGCAGAAGAACTGACTCCTTAGAAAAGACCTTGATGCTGGGAAAGATTGAAGGTGGGAGGAGAAGGGGATGACAGAGGATGAGATGGTTGGATGGCAACACCACCTCAGTGGTCATGAGTTTGAGAAAGCTCCAGGAGTTGGTGACAGACAGGGAAGTGTGGCGTACTGTAGTTCACGGGGTCGCAAAGGGCTGGACATGACTGAGCAATTGAACTAGACTGAACTAAATCTATAGTTAGATGAATAAAAAGAGTGGTTGTCTTGGGGCAGGTTTTGAGGTAGATAGGGGTTAGCCACAAAGAGGCACAGGCATGCTTTCTGGGTTGATGAAATGTTCTAGGTCTTGATTTGGATGTTGGTTACATGGGGCTTTCCTGGTGGCTCAGATGGTAAAGAAGCTGCCTGCAATGCGGGGGACCTGGATTCCATCCCTGGGTTGGGAAGATCCCCTGGAGAAGGGAGTAGTTACCCCCTCCAGTAGTCTTGCCAGGAGAATTCCAGGGTCAGAGGAGTCTGGTGGACTATAGTTCATGAGGTCGAGAAGAGTTGAACATGACCGAGCAATACTTGACTTCACTACATGGATGAACATGTTTGTCAAAACTCATCAAACATGAGTTGTACGTGTCCAGACTTGCTCAGTTTAGTTTGCAACACTGCCATTTCTCTTCAGTTACAGTCAAGGGTGAGAAGATCATTCAGACTGATATTTTGGCAAATAGGGAATTGTGGGCTTTGTATATGTTTTAACATTCTATTATTTCCTATAAATTACAATTTTCATTCAAATAATCCTGTGGTAAGACTGTCTAGATAAAGAAACACAAAATGACAGTCTGCTTGCAGAAGTTTCCAGGGAAGCTGGAAAAGGAGGACCATACCCCCCAAAACAAAGAGTTTGCCTCATTACAGAGGCACCCCTGCGAACTGGACATCCCACCCAGACTGCACATTCAACCACTGATATATGTTTGCACTGAGTTACCTCCTTCTCCTGATTGAAGTTCTCAAAGATAGCTGTGTAGGACTCATTCATTTTCTTCCTTTCTTCTTCTGATTCTAACTCAAACTTTCTGGTTATCTTATGTTCTGTGGAGATGAGGAAATCACATATATGGTTAAATGTGGGAAAAATAGACCACAAAGAAAACCAGAATATCTGAAGATAGTAGAAATTCCAGGCTGGGTCAAACGCAAGTTCCTTTCAGCCTGGTGTTTAACCTCTGATGCTCACCTGGAGATGCCTGAGAATGAGGTGAATATGGCGATGGTTCTCCATCACATCAGCCGTATGGGATTTACTTCTAGTGCATGTAAGTTTGCTAAGTTGCTTCAGTTATGTCTGGCTCTGTGTGACTCTATGGACTGTAGTCTGCCAAGTTCCTCTGTCCATGGGATTCTCCAGGCAAGAATAGAATACTGGAGTGGGTGGCCATGCCCTCCTCTAGGGGATCTTCCCCATCCAGGGATCAAACCTGTGTCTCATGTCTCCTCCATTAGCGGGTGGGTTCTTTACCACTAGCACCACCTGGGAAGCCCCTTATTTTTAATACCTCTGGTTCTTTTTGTGTAGTTTATTTTGGATCCGTTACTTATTATTTTGCCCATTGCCTCTGCTGAAGTAATAGCTATGTTTTCTTGATACTTGAATCCTAAAATGCAGCTCTTGGTTAACATGACTTTTCCAGCAATAAAATGTATTCTGCACTTAGCCCTGAGGCAGAGCCAGGCTTAAATCATTTTGAGGGGCTGGGAGAGCTGCCAATAGAACTGTAATACTAAACAGGATGATGGACAGGTGAAGGTCTCACGCAAATCTATTCTTCAGCATCGTGGTGCTGGGGTTGGGTAGGGAGGCAAACCCTGGGATCACAAGATAAGTCTGGACTGAGGTACACTGTGAATGGCTAAAGTCTGGTCTTCCAAAACCGGTTGTAGCATCTTAGCATAGACTTTGACAACATGGCATCACTGTAGTATGAGTAGTTGGGAATCTGGGCAACGACCTGGGCTGCTGCTGCTGCTGCTGAGTCGCATCAGTCGTGTCCGACTCTGTGTGACCCCATAGACGGCAGCCCATCAGGCTCCCCCGACCCTGGGATTCTCCAGGCAAGAACACTGGAGTGGGTTGCCATTTCCTTTTCCAATGCATGAAAGGGAAAAGGGAGAGTGAAATCATTCAGTTGTGTCTGACTCTTCGAGACCCATGGACTGCAGCCTACCAGGCTCCTCCGTCCATGGGATTCTCCAGGCAAGAGTACTGGAGTGGGTGCCATTGCCTTCTCCAACGACCTGGGCTACGCTACACCAGGATTCCAGGAAAGTCTCAAGCAGGAGCAGCCCCCACGCCCCATTCCCCAGCCTTGACTCCAGGGTCTTCATGCTACCTCCTGGTAATCCAGGGAGGGAAGGGACTTGAGGATGACCTTTCCCAGGGAGTATCTGCATTTAATGAGCAGTTTGTTAAAGTCAGCTAAATCAGATCTGAATTGGGTTGGGCTAGGATGTGGAATGGAGAAGGAAATGGCAACCCACTCCAGTATTCTTGCCTGGAGAATCCCAGGGACAGGGGAGCCTGGTGGGCTGCCGGCAATGGGGTCGCACAGAGTCGGACACGACTGACGCGACTTAGCAGCAGCAGCAGGATGTGGAATAAGTTTATAGAGGCCCCACTTCTGCCTCAACTAGTCCTCTAGGTCAGGAAGCAGAATCTTCAGAGATTTCCCTCTCCTTTTTCCATTTATGAAAAAGCTCAGTGCTGGTAGGAGAGTCTCCTATAGGGCACTTAGTGTGATCCAGGCTCTGTGCCAAGTGTTGGAAATGTTAAGAATGCATAGCAATATATGAATATATCAAATCAACATGCTGTACACTTTATCTCAAAAAATACCTCAATTGAAAATACATCAACAATGGCTTCCTTTGGAGGGGACATGGGAGTATAAAGATTCTCCATGTAATGGATTGTATAGCCCCTCTCCCAAAAAGTGAGTATTTGAAACTAATTCAAGAGCCTTTTTTTTCTGGAACTTCGGACAAGTCTGCAATCCTACAGATGTCCCCAAGCTCAGTCCAGCTCGTGATTGCCAAACTTGGAACCAGAGAGTTCTGGATGGTACGGTTTAGTCCCTCAGGTAGTTAAACGCCCTAAAAGACTCCATCCTTGTACTTTCTGGAAGTCTCTTGAAGTCCAGCCCTGCAGCACATCATCTTTCATGACCCCAAGCCCCGCTTCCTCGAGTGGAGGTCAACAGTAATGCCAGTTTTCTGGCATCAAAAAGTCCAAGGTTTCTGAACTCACTTTGCTGCAACAGTATCCTCTCCCGCTCCACCTTCTCATCCTTCTCCCACTCTGCCTTCTTCTTTGACCACTTGTCCTCCATTTCATCATAAATGCTGTCCTGTTGGGGGGGGGCAAAGGCATGAAGAAAAGCATCCTGAAAGGCCGCACCCCAGCCTGAGGCTCAGGACTGAGCTCTCCGCAGCTTCCCTCACCAGAGCCCCTGGCTGTGGACCTCCGTACGTTAACTGGTGGGCGATGATTCCAGCCCTGGGACCCAAGACCCTAAAGATCAAAGCAGACTCTGCATGGCGTTTGCCCTATTGGAATGGGGCTTCCTTTGAAGATGGGCAGTTGAGCACACCGCATGTGTTCATGTCAGCTCCCTCTGAATCATGAATTACTCATCAATAGCACAGTAGAAAACAAGGGAAATGTCAAGATGTTAGTTGTTTTAATCAACTGTCCTTGTTTGCCTGGGACTGAGCTGTTTCCTGGGACTCTAGACTATCAAGGCTGAAAACTGGGAAGTCCCTGGCCACCCAGGACCCATAGTAGGGGCTTGCTGCCCCAGCTCTTCCCCTGTCCACTTCCGATTTCCTACTCTCTCATCCCCCTAGAATGAAACTGTGTCCTAATTCTGGCTTCCTGGGCTTCCGTCTTATTAGCTGATGAAATGGAAGGGCTATGTTCTGGGGTGCCCCCTGCTCCACTTGCTGAAGTTAGTGCAGAGTGATACAGCCTTTTCGGATGGCAATTTGGTCAAACGCGTCAAAGATCTTTCAAATATTTATTCCTTTTGACCCAGTGTTCTGCTAAAATTAAAGATATTACAAAGTACAGATCTTAAAGAATGGTTTTCTTTAGAGTGGCGATAGTTCTTTTTGCTGTTGCTGTTGTTGATTTTTGAATTTCTTTAAAAAAAAAAAAAACAACGAGCATGTATTACTTTGGTCATGACAAACATATTCATCAATGGACTCTTTTAGGGTCCAGAGGCCAAATTGTCCAGCAAGGAAGCCATAAAAGCCCATAGGTTCACTTTTCTCCCTGGGGGCAGTGAGGGCCACTTAGGTTCAAGGAGACTGGGGATTTCAGGAAATTATTTTCCAGGCAAGCGTTCTAGATTCATCTCAACATCACCAGCCAACAATGAGCCTTGCTTTTCTCTCATAATCCACCAAGGAGCTCTGAATCTCACCTGATATATATGAAACATATTCTTCAAATATTTATATTCTTTTCCCATCTCCTCTGAGAACAAAAGGAAAACAAGAGTAGAGTCATCATTATTCCTCTGAAATTCATGATCTCAAATTCACGTGAGAGCCCTCCTGCACACCATCCACACCTTAAACTCGTCCCATCAGCGGTGAAACTGCGGTGCTGCCTCAGCAGTCATACTGGAAGCTCATCAGAAATCAGATGCCTGGACCCCACCCTGAACCCACTGAGTCAAGGTCTCAGAGGCAAGACACAGTATCTGTTGATAATATGATGTCAGGTGATTCTGAGGCACCCCCAAATCTGAGAACTAATCCCTGGTGGCAAACCTACAACTGAGGGCAAAAGAGAAGCAAAACCTTCTGTCTTTTTTAAATAACACTCCTAGTGTATCCTGGTTTTGAAAACAATGATCTTTTATTTAAAACAAAAATCTTTTCTTTAGAAAATTAGAAAACTGGCAAGGTATTAATACTAATATCATCTTTTAAAAATATATAATAAAAAGGGAAGAATTTCTCCTTCTCCCTGTAGAGATTACTCTATAAACTCAGAATTCTGAATGATACGCACTTTGCCCTTCCCAAGGGCAGCATAAACAATGGGATAAGTGGCCCGCACAACCCTTATAGGTTAGAAGGTCATGCAAGTCATGGTGTGCCTGTTAGCATTTGATGAAGCACCATCATTTTGAGGAAACTTGCTGAATTGGAATAGTATTACATTTGTAGAACTTTTAAATATATTTTTTAAAGTGCTTTCATATTCTTACCACTGTGATAAAGGCAGGTATTATAGTCCTCAATTCCCAGGTAGGGAGACTCAAGGAGATGAAGGGACTTGTTCAAACCCCAAAACTTGGCTGCAGACCCTTCTAACTTCTCGGAGTAGAGAGGTTGTTTGTTGACATGGTTTCCCTTTTTCAGTTTCATTCTCAGTCACTCCCTCTTCCTGGACTTTAGAAGGAAGCTTTGAAAGTCTAGCCAGAGTGCACCCATGGCCACAGGAATTCCTTTGCCCTCGACCTGCATGGTCAGCCTCTGCCCCCTTACCAGGGTCATTCCCAAAGCCTTACCTAGTTTGTTCTGGGCAGCCAACTTTTCTGCCTTCAAGGCTTCTTTGTAGTTTTTCTCCAACTCACTGAGCTGTGCTGTGTGAGCTTCCTTGAGCTCCCTGTGGGGCCCCAGGAAAAGGCCACAGTCACCCGTGGGAGGTCCACCTGATCTCAGCTCCCCTCCTCACGCAGGCAGCTGGTGGGCCGGCAGCGGGGCCCTCACTTGCTGACACATTCTTCTGGCATCCATCCAGAAATGGTTGAGGAGACCTCTGTTTTCACCATCCACTATTTTGAATGGAGTCATTGGGGGGGCCATAGACTACCCCGAACAACAGGGTCTTTGCTTACAGCAAAGAAACTGTGAGCTGATTAACACCCAGGATAATTTTAGAGCCTAGGTTCTTGCCAGGCTCCATTCCAGGAGGCAGATGCTGGCAGTGTTCAAGAAGGGCTTTAAAATACAAGGCTGTAGAAGCTGTCATTCCAAGAAAAGACCTGGAGGAACCTTAAATGCATACTGGCAAGTACAAGAAGTCAGTCTGAAAAGCCTACAGGCTGTATGATTCCAACTATATGAAATTTTGGAAAAGTCACATCTACAGAAGTGGTCAAAAGATCAGTGGTTTCTGGAGGTTAGTGGGGAGACAGCAATGAACAGGCAGAGCCCAGAGGATTTTTAGGGCAATGAAATTATTCTGTATGATAGTGTAATGGTGGATACATGACACTAAGCATTTATCAAAACCCATGGAATCTGCAATATCAAGAGTGACTTCCCTGATGATCCGACGGTTGGGAATCTGCCTCCAAAGCAGGGGACATAGGTTCAATCCCTGGTCGAGGAACTAAGATCCCCCATGTTTTGGGGAAATCAAGGTCAAGTACCACAACCAGAGAGGCTCTTTCACTGCAACTAGAGAAAGCCCGCAGGCAGCAATGAAAACCCAGTGCAGCCAAAAGGAAAAAAAGGAATGAACCCTAACATAAACTAAGACTTTGGGAGTAGGCTCATTGATTGTAACAAATGCCCCATGGTGGTGAGGCAGGATGTCAGTGATGACAAAGCTTGTGCAGGTGTGGGGCCAGGGGGTATGTGGAAATTCTCTGTACTTTATGTTTTACTGTGAATCTGAAAAATAGTCTATTAATAAAATAAATAAGCTAATTAATTAATTTAAAAAATTAAAAGCAAGTTTGCAACACCTATGAGGACTTCTCTCCAGCAGGACTAAGAAAGGGACTTTGTGGGTCTTCTCATTCACACAGACAGCACATCTCCTTTTTCCTCCCCTTGGTTTATCTCTCAACTCTGGCTCCTGCCTTCCCGTACTTTCTTCCCATTTTACCCAGCCTTGAGCTCACAGCCAAGACGGTAGAGGAGAGGGGAGAGAGAGGAGGGGGGCAGGGAGAGACTGGGCTGAAAACAATAGTAGTTTACCACGGAAATCTCATAGAGAACTGAAAATGGTTTCTTCTTAGCAATCAACTGAGAGGGAGATTACAATTGAAATAACTGAATTATAAAGTGCAAAGTCAGGAATAACCTCTCTGCTATTTCAGTGGCCTCAGATCAAACCATCCTACTCTCCAAAGACATGTCTCTCATCTCCCCCACCCCTTGCCACCCCACTGTCTGAAATCCCAGTGAACTGAAATCCTGCAAGGATGCAGGACCCTTAGGGCACAGGAACTTGTGCCAGAAAGCATACCTCGTCTTGCTTTCAAAGTTCTTCTGCATCTCGGCACAACGGAGATCCATTTCATTAGAGAGCTGGAAATGAGGCCAGGCCAGTGTTAACAAGACAGGAATGAGGACCCCACTCCCACTTCAACTTGCAACTTCTGAAAAACCTTCCCATTCATGGGGTACCCCCAACTGCCCTCACCTCTCCCACATAGTTACTGAAGGAATGAAACAATTCTTGCCTCTATGTCATTTGGTATGAAATCAGTTCATGATGTTGGTGCATGGAAATCATTCCTTTTACTGACTTTTGGGCAGGTTTTTTCTCTTTGGCTGGATGTAAGCTTTATAAGGTCATGGCCTTTGGATTTGGGGATATGTAACTCAATCTAGCAATCATTTATTGTGCAAAAGGCTTGACCTGGAAAAGTCAAACAAGCCTAAGACTCAGGCCCTGTCTTCAATGAACTTAAAGACCATGTTAATAAATCCTTGGCAGAATGACTGTGTTTCCAGAGGCAGGGAGCGCTCAGACGCTGGTGACCCTCTGTTCTAACACACTGGGGCCTCTGGCTGGTGTCTCAGGAGGAATGGACTCTGCCAGCTGGGACAAGGGTTGGGGGGCCAGCACTTCTCCCCAACAATGTGGGGTGTGACAGGAGGAATGCAAGAATCACAATGTGAAGTCCCTCCATCGAAATAATCTCTAAATATGTCTTCAGTAGGGCTGGTGTTCTGAAAGCGTGTGTTTTGCCCAAGAACCCACCAAGGATGAGTTGAGTGATCTCATGCAAATTATTTAACTTCCTGAGTCTCAATTTCCTCTCTGTAGAAGGTGATCACAAAAACAGGGTTTTCAGAGAAATACAGGGATGAATCACCAGAAGGGAAGGTCTCAGCCTGAGTCCTAAGCTAGGTCACTGTAGGATTCAGACACATCTGGGGTGTGTCAGAAGGTGAGGGGCTGCCTGCTGGGAAGTCACCCTTCACACGTGGGTTCCAGTAACAGCAAGCATGGCTCAGGTTGGGGGTAGAGGGGAAATGAGCGGATGGGGAAGAGATCTAAGTGTCGCTCTGGTTTGTCATTCCAGCTCAGGACACCAGGCACCTCTGCTTGGGGTGGGGAAGAAGAGTCCGTGATAAAGCAGATGGTAAGATCTAACGGGAGTGTCACCACAGTCCCCAGGAGACACAAAGAGTGCAAACTGAAATCAGCAGATTCGGGAGGGTGGGCTTCAGCAGTTTCAACAGCAACAGGAAGTGGGACTGGAGGCTTCTGGGCAGTTTTTGAGTGAAACTGAAGTACTGGTCACGCTGGTGCCATTAGCAAGAGTTTCAGCAAGGTCTGAAATTAAACTCACCGAACAGGGCATAGTGGGCTCTGGTGGAAATTGCTGGTGCCCCCTAGTGGAGCAACCCACTCCAGTACCCTTGGCTGGAAAATCCCATGGATGCAGGAACCTGGTAGGCTACAGTCCATGGGGTCTCAAAGAGTTGGACACGACTGAGGGACTTCACTTTCTTTCCTTCCTAGTGGAAAAGATAGTGGCACTGAGCATGCCAGAGATGCCCAGGGAGCTCCTGGAAATTGACTTAGGCCTGAAGATCAAACCAGTCTTGAAAGGAAATCAACCCTGAATATTTATTGTAAGGACTGATGCTGAAACTGAAGCTCCAATAATTTGGTCACCTGATGTGAAGAGCCAACTTATTGAAAAATACCCTGATGCTGGGAAAGATTGATAGTAGGATGAGAAGGGGACGACAGAGGATGAGATGGTTTGGTGGCATTATCAACTCAACAGATATGAGTTTGAGCAAGTTCCAGAAGATAGTGATGGACAGGGAAACTTGACATGCTGCAGATAAATGGGGTCACAAAGAGTCAGACATGACTGAGCGACTGAACAACAATTAGAGGAAGGACTTGAGTTCTTGGCAATTATGGATGAGGATGGAGTCAGGGAAATATGACGGGGTGACCACAGTCTTATCTGCAGAGCTGTTGCTTGGGCAACCTAGCTCCCATGAGTCAGGGACTTGGCCTCTTGTCTGGAACATAGCAGGTCATCTGAAGCTATTGGTCTTTCCCCTTCCCATTGCTCACTCAAGGATCACTCACCAATTTTTGGGCAGAACGATGGTCTCTGTTCATTTGCTCTATGATCACTGTCAACTCTGAGATCTGTTCTTTGAGGTCAGCAATGATATCAGTCCTGCGGGACAAGTAGCCCATTACCCACAGAGCTTCCAGGCTTCCAGGATCCTCCCTGAGCATGGCTGGCTCTGGCCTGGTGAGAGCCAGGCTGTGTTCTGCACTTCCTCCATCATCATGGGGTGGGGGTGCAGGGGCAGAGGGTGGGCTGGGAGAAGGAAATTTGGCAGTAGGATTGTTGATCTCAGACACAGACAGCCCTTTTGGGTAGACTGGCCAAAAGCGAGTAGGGGTAGTTTGGTGACTCACTAGATTAGAAGAGAAAGAGGAGGATGTCAGAAATCTATTAGGCTTTCACCTTGACTCAGTAAAGATAGTTGAAATGGAGGAGGGAGATGTTCAGAGGATTAGGAAATGAGTTGGGGGGGAATAGAATTGACGCTGACAGTGACTCATAGACAAGGAATGGGCTGGAAACAGGACAAAGAAGGGATTTAAGAGAGTGGCTTTCAGAATAGATTATGGATTTTTGCATTTCTGGAAGAAAGTAAAAGTGAAAGTGCTAGTCACTCAGTTTTGTCCAACTCTTTGTGACCCCAAGGATTGTAGCCCACCAGGCTCCTCTGTCCACAGAATTCTCCAGGCAAGAATACTGGAGTGGGTTGCCATTTCCTCCTCCAGGGGACCTTCCTGACTCAGGGATTGAACCCAGGTCTCCCGCATTGCTGGCAGACTCTTTACTAAGCCCCCAGGGAAGACCTGAATGGTCTTCATAGACAAGGAATGGGCTGGAAACAGGACAAAGAAGGGATTTTAGAGTGTGGCTTTCAGAATAGATTATGGATGTTTGTGATTCTTGGGCCTCCATGAAATCTGTAAGATTACTCAGCTCTCTTTGGTTGAGCTGGAGTAAACAGGGTGGCAGGCAGTGCAGCAGAGATGAGGTCCTTGATTCAATAGGTCGAGAAAAGAAGAGAGGATGTAGGAGGAGATGGGGGAAGAGGAGATATGAGTTAGAGATTCAGGAAGTAGAATGAAAAAGATGTGGGGACTGACTTTATATGGTTCTGGAGGATGGGGAGTCGGTGAGCCTTGAATGACAGAGGGGGTGGCATAGGCTCAACTGGAATGGAATCAGGCCAGAGTCTTACACACCGCATCTCTCAGAGGCATTAGTGAGTGTTATCTTTGGACATAAGGAAAAAGATGCAGACTCAGGCCTCCCAGAAGTCCTGACTTTACTCTCAGTTCTCATTCTTTGAATTCAGACCATTGTATGAGTATCTCATCTACTCATTACCTTCAGGAACAACTACTCCCCTTTAGGATGAGTGACACCAACCCAGTCATTTTCCAGATCAGCTGCCTGACTCGTCCATCCGTCCCCCTGACTCCAGTGGGCTCTGAGCAGGGAGGTGGGTGCAGAGAGGCGCCAGCACAGGGCTGAGCCAAGGGACACTGTGGGCTGGGCATCAACTGAGGGTTTGTCCTTGGGACAGGAGGGAAGTCTGGGGAGCTGGAGGGAGTTCAAGGACATTACCTGGAAATTTTGACTTTGTCCATGTTCTCCGATTCTGAATGTTTTTCCCTATCAAACATCTCATCTCCCAAGGTGACAGAAATCCGCTCCCTGTTCCGAACGAGGCGGTAGCCAGGTGATACATCTATCACTTCCTGGGCATCAAGGTGGAAGGCAAGGTCATATTGCAGACTTGGAGCGTTGGGATTGCTCCAGTATTCCTCTAGGGCCTTACTCACATCTTAGACCCACGAGGTGGGGTGTTCCCCTGTAGCCTCCCCCAGTTTCCTCTCTCCTGAAACCAAATTGCAAGACTCAGCTGGTCCCTGGGTGTCCCCATAGGCTTCTCAAACCCAACATAACAAAACCCAAACGCTGACCCCTGCTCCCCGCTCTGCCTTTGAACCCTGCTCCTCTTTTGCATTCTCCTTCCAGAGGCCAGGTGGCGGCTGGGCGTTGTGGACGCTGCTCAGGTCTTGGAATTAGATGGGCCTGAGTTTAAATCCTGGCTCTGCCACTAGCCACAATTATTCAGCATCTCTGAGCTTCAGTTTGCTTATCAGAAAATGAAGATAATAACTCTTCATCAAAGGGTTTTTTTGACGAATAAACAAAATAACACATGAGAAAATACCTAGCACAATTGCGAACAAAACAAAACTCAAAATTCTGGTCGGTTCCACCCAATCATCCATCTGGGCAGGGCTACCAACCAGCGTGGACCAGGAGAAGATGCACGGTCTTCTTTTTAAAAGATTTTTTGATGTGGTCTTTCTTTCTTTTTTTTTTTAATTAAAAAAAGTCTTTATTGAATGTGTTACAATATCGCTTCTGTTTAACGTTTTGTTTTTTTTGGCCCCAAGGCTTATGGGATCTTAGCTCTCTGACCAGGGGCCGAACCCACACCCCTGCATTGCAAGGTGAATTCCCAAGCACTGGACCACAGGGCTAGTCCCAGGTGTGCTGTCGTGAGTTGGGCAGGACACCCCGTGGCATCTGTTATCTCCTAACTCTACCTCAACCTCNCCCCCCCCCCCCCCCCCCCGCCCCTCGTGTGGTCCAAGGCCACTGTCATCTTGCTCCTTGGCTCTGCTGATCTCTTCTCAGTTGGCCTCTCTGCCTTTAGCCTGGCTCCCCTTAAGTTCATCATCCTCTCCACCTAGAGGGCTATTGTATTTTTGTTTATCTTTTTTCCTGACCATTAAGAGACTGTGCGATCTTCATACAAGAGAGGCGGAGCAGGGGAAGAGAGGCAAGGAAAATAGATATAAGCAGAGAGTGTAAAAAGGGCCAATAAAACACCACTGGAGGGCATTTTCTAAAAATGTAAACCTGACCTGTGTCAGACCCCTAAAGGCTCCCAGACACCAAGAGAACTAGGTCTAAATTTGAGGCAGGTGTCACGTCCTTCTGGGTGCAGTCCCATCTCTTTCTCCAGCACCCTCCTGTCCCTGCTCTTTTCGTCTCATCCTCCCATCCCGGCTCCTCCCAGGTGCCCTGGTGGTCTGTGGGTTCCCAAGTGCAGCAGAAGGTTTCCTGCATCTGGGCTTAAGCTGTTCCCTGGCCTGGACTGATTGCCACCATCCGGTTTCTGTGGGAGACTCGCCTCACCCTACACCCTACAAGGCAGCAGAAAGTGGTAATTAATGCCTTCTTTAGGATCCAGCTGAGCTGAGTTCAAGTCCTGGTTCTACCCCTCACCAGCAACACATTAAATGTGATCTTGATAGATGCTCCTTAGGGGATCATTGCACAGATTCGAGGAGGTGAGTGTGTGTAAAAGATCTGCCACATAGTGGGTCTCTATAAATGTCAGCCCCACTGCCCTCTTCCCAGTTTTACTCACATTAGGTAATTTATTGCTCTCCTCTTGTTTTCCTAAATGGACTTTCATTCTGTAAGAGAAAGGCATGCTCAGAAAGCAGTCGGGGAAAAAAGGAAGGTTGGTACACAGATTGCGATGAAATGATAAGTAGTAAAAAAGTAGGAAATCAACCCATCACTAGCCTAATAGTAGAACCATTCCTAAAACAAGGGCCTAGAAACTTCATATGAAGATCCAAGCACTCTCCTATGAGCCGGTGCCTAAGCTTCGATGCACATGCTTTTTAGTGACATCCTTGCTGTGTCTGCATGACTGCCTTTCTTCCTGTTTGCACTGGAAATTGGTGTCTGGGAACCTGAACGTGCCCAGGGTTAAATAAATTCAGGGTAAGCAAAGTGTTACTGTTCTGAGAGCTGGTGTTAACCCTGATTATAATTACTATTTTTTTCCAGATACAGAAACATGAGCATAGGGTCAGGTATTCAAATGTCATAAGAGTGTTTACAGGGGCGCTTACCCGGGATGTTGGAAGAGTCGAATAAGAGTGACTATTCTGCTATGGCGGCAAGCAGCGCAAGTCGGACTGTGTCACTCTTCTCAGAATCCTCAGATGGCTTCCTACGTGTTATGGACTAAATTGTGTCCCTCCCATAATTCACCATATTGAAATCCTAACACCTGCCATCCCAGAATGTGACTGTATTTGGATTTATGAACTTTAAAGAAGTGACTGAGTTAAAATGAGGCCATGAAGGTGGGCACTAATGCCATTTTCCTGGTATTCTTGCGAGAGAGCTTAGCACACACAGTGAGAACCCTGGATGTGCACGCACAAAGCAGAGACCCGGTGAGGGGTGGCAGGTGGGCAGCCACCTGCAAGCCAAGGAGAGAGTCCTCACCAGAGGTCAACCCTGCCAGCATCTTGATCCTGGACTCCCAGCTTTCAGAACTATGGGACAATAAATTTCTGCTGTTTAAGCCTCTTAGTCTGTGGTTTTTGTTATGGTGACCCCAGCAGTGAACACACCATCCCTTTTGGAGTGAAAATCGAAGTTCTTATGGCAGCCAGCACACTTCCCTGTGGGTTTCCTACTGTTATTACTAAATTACTATGAATTTAGTGGCTTAGAACAACACCTTGTTATGTTTAGTTCTAAAGTCAAAGTCTGAAATGGGTCTTCCTGGGCTAAAATCGAGGTGCTGGTCCGGTTGTCCTCCTCCTGGAGGCTCTGCTGGGAATCTATTTCCTTGCCTTTTCCAGCTCCTAGAAGCTGCCCCTACTCCTAGTAGCCTTGTCCTCTGTCCTCAAAGCCCAAAGGTCATTGCTCCAACCTGTGCTTCTGTTGCCGTGTCTCCTTCTCTGACATGCTGACTTCCTCTTTCACAGGTGAGGCCTTTTACTTTTATATTAAGTCCACCTTTACATTATATCCTGGGTAATCCAGCATGATCTATCAGCTGCTGAGCAACCTAATTCCATCCGCCACCTTCCTTTCCCCTCAGCAAGTAAGAGAACAAAGTGACGGTTTCCAGGGATTAGGACGTGCACTTCTGCGGGGAGTTAGGGGGGTGATTATTACTCTGTGGACTGCATTCAGCATCTCTGCAGCTTCTTTGAGCTCATGTCCCCGCACTCTCTCCTCCCTTCCTCCACTGGCCGCACGTGGGCCACTTTGCTTTCCAGGAAAACATCAGATGTGCCAAGCAAGTTCCCACCCAGGGCCTCCGTATTCACTGTTCCCTTTGCCAGGAGTGCTGGACCCCAGTGGTCAGCGCTGCTCCTGCTGACCTCTTACCCAGGGATTGTCCTGATCTCTCTCTGCAAAATCACAACCCCACCCTCACTGTCCCCTCCTCCCGATGCCTGCACTGTTTTTTCACACAGTGCTTGCAGACTTCGGATGGATTTACACATTCATGGTCATCTCCCCAGCCCTCCCCACTAGAATGCAAGTCCAGGAGAGCAGAGACTTTGCCGTGTTCATTGCTGTCTCCCTGCACCTGACTCAAAGTCTAGCAAATAGTAGGTGCTCAGTAAATGGTTTCCAAATAAATAAGTAAATAGAATACAAAGTTTCGTGCAAAGGCCTAAACCTAAATTACACCAGATAAGCTTATAAATGTGAATGAAAATTTTAATTGATGAGTAAAAACAGAGCTGTAGTCTACAGAAATCCTTAGACATAGTAAAGTCATCAAGAAAAGGATGAGTGCACGCCATAAGTCTGTGGGAGGCTTTGGGTCAAGGACATGCATGGACATTCAGTGCTTTTCGGGCAGGGAGGGGCTCTCTGGGGCACCCCGCTAAGAACTCCTTGGAAGTGAATTTGAAAGCAGTGAGGGCAAAGGGCCACAGAATCCACCTGTAGGAGCTGAAGTTCGGGGGAAATCCCAGTGTGTTTTGGCATTTCTCTGACAACACTTGGGAGCAGTTACCTTAAGTCAGGAAAGGTTGTAAAGGCCTAGAAGGGAGATTATTTTATTCACATACCTCAAACCGACCCTGTTCCATGGACGTGAAAACACTTACTTTGGGGTGACAACAGATTTTGTTATCGGTTGGGCATAATTTTGTTTTCTTCCAGCTGGAGGAAGAGGAGAGAGCCTGACAGTGAAAAAGGAAATCGTGACAAAGAGAAAATTGGAAATTCAGAAACCTGCTTTAGCACTCTCAGGGAAGGGAGCCCCCCACAGTGACCCCAAATTGGAAGACACGGTGTGCCAAGGGGAATCTTTATAATCAAGATGGTCTGGGGAGCGGCAGGCCGATGGCCCTGGCACTTGTTCGCTGACCAGGGGCTCCTGGGCTGAGGTCCTCTGGTTCTAGAAGCTCTTTGTCCCGCATGGGGGGCCCCTGCCATGGCCCTGTCCCTCCTGGCCTTCCTCTGCAGGTTCCTCACTGAAACCACACTCCGCCCCAGCTGCCCCGTCCAGAGGGCTGTGCAGCCAACAGGTGAGTGAAGCCAGGCTTTCTGGCCACTTCGGGATTTTGCTGCCAAGCTGACTGTTTTGGAAATCTTGTGAGAGAAAGAGGGCTGCCCCACTCCATGGAACCCAAGCCCTCAGGCCACACTCCATCCTGGATAATCCTTACTTGGGCTTCATCGAGGAGGTCTTCCTTGGTGGCTGAGGGGTCTTGATTAGCTTTCGTGGCCCCAGGTTCCAGGGATCCCAGCAGGTGCAGTAGACGAGGGGGTTGGGGTACATGGCAGGTCAGGGGATGTCTTGGCTGCTGGGTCGGAGGCCTCACCGAAACGGGAAAACAGAAGCAGAGTCACACTGTTGAGAGTCAGAGCAACAACACTTAGAGACAAATCGGGAAGAGCCCAGAGAAAGCCCAAGGCACAGATGACAGATTCTGGAAGCTGTCAGTGTGGTAGAGGGTCTTGAATATAGCACAACACCTCACCTCTGGCCACCCAGGAGATCTGACTTGAAAGCCATTTAACATTTGATGTTGTTGTTATTTAGTTGCTCGGTCATGTCCAACTCTTGCAACCCCATGGACTGCAGCCTACCAGGCTTCTCTGTCCACGGGATTTCCCAGACAAGAATTCTGGAGTGGGTTGTCATTTTCTTTTCCAGGGGATCTTCCTGACCCAGGAGCAAACCCGCATCTCCTGCATTGGCAGGCGGGTTCTTTACCACTGAGCCACCTGGGAAGGAGTTGCTGAGAGCTTACTATGGGCCAGATCCACAATAAGTCGTCAGTTATTGTTGTGCCAGCTTTACAGATGAGGACAGCGAGGCTCAGAAAGGTAACAGAGGTCGTAAGTCACAAAGTTGGAAACAAACACAAGTCTATCTGACTCCTGAGCACTTGCTCTTCCATCAGGTCACACGAGCTATCTCTGAAGGGCAGAGAAATGCCTGTAACAGGTAGGTCATGCATAGACCTTCCCAGAAAAGCAGCTCTGTGACTCAGATTACAGTGCAAGGGAATCTTCCAGGTTCTCTTTCCTGGTCACCGGCCTGAACTGCACAGCCAAAACTCTTCCTTCTGGGCTTCATAAAAACAAACAACTCTGTAACAAAGGTTTGCATGAAAAACAACTATCAGGTAAACATGGAGGCTTGACCACACTTGTTTATCTTCTTTCTTTTCCAGAACTCCACTAAAATGGGAGTACAGATTAAGAGATATTTAATTCCATAAGAACAGAGAGGAGGAGAGAGGAGACAATATCGCAGAAGTGATGTCCATATGGGTTTGGCACTGTGACTCCCTCACTTAGTACATCACAGGAAACTACAGCTTATGAGCCTGCAAAGGACGTACAAACCAGCAGAAGCCAGTTTCCAGGAGAAAGCCCCCCACGATGCAGGGTTGGAACTGGATTATCTGATGTTTAGGATGGGTATTCGACATCTGTTGGAACATAGTGTTCCTTCCCCTTCCTCCCCTGCCCCATGTTCTAAGGAAATATGTTGCCTTACATGCCAGAAGGGGCTTTGCAGCTGTGATTAAGGATTTACCTCAACCAGTTTTTTTTCCTCTAGTTTTTATTTTTTATTAAAGTATATTTGACATACAATATATTTAGTTCAGTTCAGTTGCTCAGGCATGTCTGACTCTTTGTGACCCCATGAACTGCAGCATGTCCAAGTCCAAGTCCAAGGGAGTCCGTCTTCTCCAACACCACAGTTCAAAAGCATCGATTCTCTAGCACTCAGCTTTCTTTATAATCCAACTCTTACATCTATACATGACTACTAGAAAAACCACAGCTTTGACTAGATGGACTTTTGTTGGCAAAGATATGTCTCTGTTTTTAACATGCTATCTAGATTAGTCATAGCTTTTCTTCCAAGGAGCAAGTGTCTTTTAATTTTGTGACTGCAGTCACCATCTGCAGAGATTTTGGAGTCCAAAAAAATAGTCATTGTTTCCACTGGCTATTTGCCATGAAGTGATGGGACCAGATGCCATGATCTTTCTTTTCTGAATGTTGAGTTTTAAACCAACTTTTTCACTCTCCTCTTTCACTTTCATCAAGAGGCTCTTTAGTTCTTCCTCAATTTCTGCCATAAGGGTGGTGTCATCTGCATATATGAGGTTATTGATATTTCTCCTGCCAATCTTGATTCCAGCTTGTGCTTCACCCAACCCAGCGTTTCTCATGATGTACTCTGCATGTAAGTTAAACAAGCAGGGTGACAATATACAGCCTTGATGTACTCCTTTTCCTATTTAGAACCAGTCTGTTGTTCCATGTCCAGTTCTAACTGTTGCATTCTGACCTCCATACAGAATTCTCAAGAGCCAGGTCAGGTGGCCTGGTAGCCCTATCTCTTTCAGAATTTTCCACAGTTTGCTGTGATCCACATNATGTGGTGTGGCCTTTCAAAGGAAGTGGAGGTGGCATAGAAGATAATGCTATTTGCAAAGTGTCCTTTTCTCTCCTGAATCACCACTGGGAAAGTGCTCTCCTGAGGACTCAGGGATGCGCTGCTGCAAGTCCAGGCATCTGTGGTCCCTGGGTGGTGGCAGGCTTCAGTCCCCAACCTGCCTGGATGTCGGGGCAGACAGAACTCTAATCCTGCCAGCAGAGTGAGGGTGAACGTGAGCCTCTGCAGACTTCAGACTCCAAGGTAGTGTCCGATATACCAACAATCTCTTTACTTTTGTAAAGGGCCTAATAATGACCAATGCCTTATCCAATGTGATTCCATGGGGTTAATTTGTATTTTTTAAATTTTTAAAAGACTTTTATTTATTTTTTAGTTTTTAGCCATGCAGCATATGCGATCTTAGGTCCCTGACCAGAGATTGAACCTGTGCTTTTGTGGTGGAAGCATGGAGTCTTAACCACTGAACCACCAGGCAAGTCCCATGGGATATGTTTTTGAAACAAATACGCTAGAATTTACATACTGAATGAACACTGTAAACTTTGAAGGAGTTATCTTATTTTAACAATGCCACCATCATTCAAGCTATCTTTGATACTCTACTTTGAACCCTGACACTACGGTTTATAGTACACTTAAAATAATCTTTACAATGATGGCAAGATTTTGACTTTAGGGTAGGCCTGATATTGTGTAAGTCATCAAAAAATGAGAAATCTGAATAATTCAGTCTCACTCTGAGCTAATTTTAAGGGTCAGCTAGTGTGTCCTTATAGCATAAAGTGCTCAGCCAATGTTTTCTAGAAGAACAAGGCCTAAAATCTGTTGTAAATCATGGCCTTCTTTGTGAATAGCAATTTAAGATTCTAAAGTAAGAAAGCTGTTGCCTTAAATTACTATAAACTTACTAAAAAGGCTATGTTGTTGTTTAGTTGCTAAGTCATGTCCAACTCTTTTGTGACCCCATAGACTGTAGCCCGCAAGGCTTCACAGTCTATGGGATTTCCCAGGCAAGAATACTGGAGTGGCTTGCCATTTCCTTCTCCAGTCGTTCTCTCATTTTTGAGATTGCATCCAAGTACTGCATTTTGGACTCTTTTGTTGACTATGATGGCTACTCCGTTTCTTCTAAGGGGTACAATATATTAGTTTCCAGTATACAATACAGTGGTTTGACATTTATACACATTATAAGCTACTAAAAGTTTAGTAACCATTTGTCACATGCAAAGTTACTACAATGTTATTGACAATATTTCCTATGCTATACATTATATCTCTATGATTGTTATTTTATAACTGGAAATTTGTACCTCTTGATCCTCTTCACCTATTTTGCCCAAGTTTTTACCCCTCTTTTTTCTGGCAACCTCTTTGTTCTCTGTATCTATGAGTCTGTTTCTGTTTTGTCTTGTTTGTTCATTTGCTTTTTTTTTTAAGTCATTATTAACTTTTTGTTGAAAATAACTCATGTTCAAAAGAAAAGGCCAATATGGTGTGTTATCAGAATAGAGTAAATCAGAGTTGATTAGCTGGTTAAAAAGTCATATGGAAAAGTTGAAAGGAAACTGAGTTTTAAGAGAGTGTAAATAACTAAAATATTTAAAAATGTTATATTAAAATTAGAAATTTTATACTAAAGATATACTAGAATATACTGGAATGTTTGCAAAAATGAAAAGGGTGCTTTGCTTTTTAGATTCCACATATGAGTGAAATCATACTGTTTGTCTTTCTCTGACTTATTTCACTTGGCATAATAGTCTCTAGGTCCATTCATATTATTGCAATGGCAAGATTTCATTCTTTTTGTGACTTAGTAATATTCCATTATTTCTCTCTTCACAACATTCTTTACTAAAATTTCCCTTGGGTTTTGGAATCATTGGGTCTGCTTTTGCACAGAAAATCTGCTTATCATCTGTGGGGCCCCAATAAATGTACTTTCATTTTTACGAGTCTCAGCTTCCTCATCTGCAAAATGAGGGAAAAATTCATGCCTCCTCACTGGGCTCTCCGGCAAACATGAAATGAGACCATGTCAGGAAAGTTCTCAGCACACTGCCTTGCATACATTAGGGTTTCAAAAACTGCAAATGAGTTTAGGAACATTATGAAAAAGGTATTTTGTTTACAGAAGCTTTTATTTCTAAATTTTTGGGAAAATAGTCTTTTTTAAAAATACATGTTAAATTGAATTATGTTCATTGTAAAGAAAATTAACAGCGAAAAGCCTAATGAAGTAAAAATAATCCAAAATACTAGCATCTAGAGATGACCACTGAAAATATTTTGGTGAGTGCCCTCTAGAATTCTCTCTAGTCTAAAGAAAGAGATGCATAATTTTCCATAAATGGAAACAAATTCTACTTACATCCTAGATATGCCTTTTTAAACATATAGTCAGTAACTATATACATATACAATCATAGAATTATTTTTAAACTTAAGTTTACTGTGGAGAAATTTTTTAAATGTACAGAAGTAGAGAAAAGAGTACAGTGAACTCACACATATTGTCACCTAGCTATAATCATTAGCAATTTATGGCTAGCCTCATTCATCTTAGCTCACCTTTTTAAAAATTGGAGAATAATTGCTTTACAATGTTGTGCTGGCTTCTGCTGTACAATAGTGTGAATTAACTGTACAGATACATATCTACCCTCCCTCCTGAGACCCCCTGCCCCTCCGCATCCAACCCCTCTAGGGCATCACAGAGCACTGAACTGAGTTAACCCACTTTTCTAACACTAGATTATTTTAAAGCAAATTTAAAGCAAATCTATAACTTTAATTATTTAAAACAAACCTTTTAAACAAGACTGAGGACTTCCGTGGTCGTCCAATGGTTAAGAATCTGCCTACCAAAGCAGGGGACATAGGTTTCATCCCTGGTCCAGGAAGATTCCGCCTGCTGCGGGGCAACTAAGCCCACGTGCCACAACTACTGAGCCTGCACACCCTGGAACCCATGCTCCGCAACAAGAGAGTAGCGCCCGCTCACTGCAACTAGAGAAAGCCCACGTGCAGCATCAAAGACTCAAGCGAGCCAAAAATAAACAAATAGAGAAATAAATTAAAAAGCCTGAAATTTGTTTCTATATTATCATGACTTTGTACATTTCTCTTTTATGAATGTACCCACGTATATTTTTAGCTAGTTTTGTATTGATAAACATTTGCTTGTTTCCTTTTTTCTGACTATGAGCAATGCCTTGGTGCATATTCTTTTGCTCTTAAAAACTAAAGGCCTCCAAATACCCGTGGGAATGATACTCAAAATTATTAACAACCAGTAAGACAAGGCTATGGAACAAGTAGAGTAGTTGAGGGTTCTGTGGTGGAACAAGGTGATGGAGGACCCCACTCTCATCCCCACACCAGGTATTAACCACTCGTTGAATCCTGAGGAGGTATGGGGGTGCCAGGAGAATTGTGGAGGTAACCAAGGAGACAGGCATGACATTTGAGGGGCTTGAACAATGTATACGCACAGCCAGTATGGCAGTATTTTCATATTTCAATAACTGTGCATACAAGCTAAATGTCAGCCCTCTGCCTTCATATTCCCCCAAGATGGAATCACTGTTAACAGCTTTTTGGGTATCGTTCCAGAAATATTCTATAATATTTAAAAATTTTTTATGTAAACAAGAACACACTTAATACACTACACCATGCGTTGCTTTTTTTGTTGTATGTATATCTGGACTTTCCAGGTGGCTCAGCGGTAAAGAATCTGCCTGTCAGGCAGGAAACTCAAGTTTGATCCCTGAGTTAGGAAGATCCCCTGGAGAAGGAAATGGCAGCCCACTCTAGTATTCTTGCCTGGGCAATCCCATGGACAGATGAGTTTGGCGAGCTACAAATCCAAGGGGTCACAAAACAGTTGGACATGACTTGGCAACTAAACAACAACAGGATATCTAATAAATATTTCCATTTCAGCATGGATAGATCTAATGCATACACAGTGGCTAGATGTGCATTTTATGGCTCTAAGACTATAGGGGTGTGTGTGTGTGTGTTTTAGAATCTTGCTTGTCATTCTTTTCCTTTCCTATATCTCTTTCTGATGGTTTTATCAGAGACTTAGTGGACCGAATGTGCCGATTGGTGACCCTGTAATAACCAGTGAGCTGCTGAGCCTCCAGAAAGGTCACTGGTTAGCATTAGTAATTAGAAGAGAAAAATTTTTATGAAACATCTTTCCAAAGAGCTTACCTTGGACTGCCCGAAGATTTGTTTTCCCCATGTAATTTCTCTTCAAGTCAAGAGTCTTAAAGTCACCATAAAGTTATAGACAAATTCTTTTTCATCAATGCAAAATCAGAATTAATTTTAGGTCAAATCCGGAGGGTTCCAGGATGTGAGACTTTAGTGGTCATTCCAAGTGATTGAAATGCCAGAGCAGAAAATCCACAGTATTCCAGGGAATCCAGTCGAAGTCTTTCACAAAGGCTGACCTGGCATGAGCGTGAATTTCCCTTCTGAAGACGATCCAGTTTGAGTCTTTCAGTATTGCAACGTAAGTCAAACTAGAGGAGAAAGTCACCCCTTCATTCAGACTCTTGTGAGAGCTGGAGTTGTGAGATTGAGCAGATGGTGAGGGAAGGTTTGTTTCTTTTATTGCTATGGAAACAGAATAGCAGCATCTCATTGGCTCAGGCCCTCAGCTCTTAAGAGAGAAGGCTAGAGAAGCAGCCATTGAGAAATTCTCCAAGATATGTTTAAGACATACTAAGACATGAGACAAGAGACAAGATCTGTTTAAGACATACTACCAGAGGAAACAGAATGAAGTAGCACTCCTAGGTTTAGTAGGCTATGGCAGTCGTTTCCAGGCAGGATCTGTGATGGTTTTAAATTCCTGTCATTGGCTCACAGAAACCTAAAACTCTAAAGTAGGCACTTTCTTCCTTGAATCTCAGGCTTTGAAATCTGTTAAAGTACCAGTCCACTGGGGCAGGAGTCCTTTTCAGTTACCAAGAAGATCAGATTTTTTGCTGTAAAGAAAACTGCTTTTACTTATTACAGAAAAAAAAGAAGCTTGTTTATCAAAGATCAGTAGCTTTTATTTTTAATCTACTGCACCTCACTGTATTTTACACATTTTATAAACAAATTGCATGAAATAATACGCTTATTACATACTATTTTATCTTTCTTTTAAAAATAATTTAAAATTTTTACTTATGTTTAAAAATTATTTTAAAAATGTATTTTTTGTTGGAGCAGAGTTGATTAGCAATGTTGGGTTAGTTTCAGGTATGCAGCAAAGTAATTCAGTTATACATATGTCTATTCTTTTTCAAATTCTTTTCCTATTTATGTTAGTACAGAATATTGAGCAGAGTTCCCTGTGCTATGCAGTAGGTCCTTGTTGATTATCTATTTTAAATGCAGTAGTGTGTACATGTTAAGACCAAACTCCTGATCTATTCCTTCTTTTAACTATTTTTAACAATACTTCTAGTTAAAATGAAAGCTGATTATAAATCCATCTTATTGATTTCATGATTTGCTGAAGAGTCACAAGCTGAAGCTTTTAAAACACTGCTATAAGTTCATCCATTCATTCTACTCCATCAGTTCAGTTCAGTTCAATCACT